GCCCTTTGGCCGCGTGGTCCGCGCCCCCCTCAGGGGCGGAGCCCTGGAGAAACAACAACACGGAGGCCCCGCCCCCAGCCCACGCCCTCCGGGAGGGAGCGTGCAAACCGCGGGCCTGCAGCGCGAGGCAGGGCGCGATGGCAAAGGTGGCGGGATTGGACCCCCGGACCACTTTGCCCCAGAACTCCAGGACCCCGTGGCCGCCGCTCCGGGATTCTTGCTTCGTGCGCAGGCGACCATGCTCCCGAGGGCATGATGCCCTGCTACTCCAGAGTGGGTGGGCCACTCCCGACTCTGGCCTGGATTCCTCTCTGCGCCTCCGTTTCCCCACATGAGATGCGAGTCACAGTGAGCCACAGGAGAGTCGTGTTTATTGATGGGTGAACTAATCAGCAGGAAAAGGCTGATTTCTCTAAAATAACAAGTGGACCACCACGTCTGCAGCCCAACCCCCCACCTACACCCACACGCACAAAAGGCACAGCTGAGTATCTTGGAATTGAACCCATCCAAGCGAGGGAGGGCGTGAGCCCCGCCCTGTAGAGCAGCAGCAGGTGGGAAAAGGCCTCTGGGAACTTGCTTTCCCCACCCTTACCTACCTAAGTGTTCTCAGCACTCCCACCCCCAACCCCCAGCTTCAATCTGCACCTTCAAAACCGTTAATTGCCTTCGGTCCCCGCAATTGAAGGTCTTGTCTAGCAAATGTCTGGGCTGTCCTCTTTACCCCCCAGATTCCTCTTTGGGGACCATTGTTCTCTATCTCAGATTCTACGGTGCTTGTCACAGCCATAGTTTGGGAGGGTCATGATGCCCCCCACCCCCAGCTAAAGAGGGAAAGACCCCTCATAGCTCAGGGATGAGGCGTGGAATCCTTGGATACAGAAATTGTCCTCTGGCCTTTCCAGATTTGCCACAGCCTTTCTTGGAGCAAGGCGAGAGCAGCTGGGCGGGCTGAAACTGAGCTGTTTCACTTCTCTGAGCCTGATTCCTTACACAAAAAGTGAGGAGGTTAGACTCCTGTGCTTTGCTTTTTTTTAATAGGAGAAACCTTATTTATACAAAATCTTACATAAAGTCCACCCTGTAAGACGTAAATTGTCTTGACCGAAGCTGAAATGAGGATCAACCACCTCCAGTTTCCAAAGCACCTGAAACACCTCAGGCACTACACTTTGGAACCATGACCCAGAAAGATTTGGGGGTCTCTAAAGGCCCCTTCCAGTTCTGGAAAATCCGATGTCAAAGATTACAGCTCCTTATTGGGTTGGCTGGTTCATCTCATCTACTTCACACCAGATTGGGTATCACAGTAAGGGCTCACATCTCTGTCTTCCATCCTGACATCTCTGGGAACTCCAAATTCATATAACCCACTGCCTACTTGACATCTCTATTGGGCAGCCTTATCAGGCACCTTGTTATTTGACCTAGCTAAAGAATTTCTGATTTCCCTTGTAAATCTACTCCTCCAGTTGCCCATCTGAATCAGCAGTATAACCAACCAATTGCTCAAATCAAAATTTTACGAGTCATTCTTGATTCCTCCCATATTCAATCCATCAGCAAGTTGGTTTAATCCTCCCATGGCTTCCTGTTACAATAGCTGTACATAATCAGCCCTTCTTCCTCCATCTCACCATTATCAGCTAGACACACTGGCCTGCTTTCTGTTCCTGAGACACATTAAAGTTTTTCTGCCTTAGAACCCTCGCAGTCCTCATTGCCACTGCTGGAATCCTCTTGCAGAGCTGAAATCCATGTTGTTGAGCTCATAGGATTAGCCTCTCTCTGCCACCATTTGTTCATGAGCCTATAGGCTGTTTGAGAAAGGTGATGATGGAGATGTGAAAAGCAAGTTTGACTTGGGTTTTCTGCCCTTTTGAACTACAAGAGTACTAAATACTGCATTTGATATCAGATATGAGATGACTGGAAGCTGGAAGGCAAAAACCCAACAAATGTTCACAATAAAACTTTGGGCAGGGAATTCTTCCATTCAGGCATTCTGTATGTTAGAACTGCTCTTCCCTGATCTCTCCCCTCCGCAGGGATCAAGGTCAGAAACCAAGGAATTAAGAAGAAACAATTCAGCATGGCATCCTTCAGTATCAAGTTAATGAGAGAAGGCAGAAAACTACAGCATTATAATACAACTGATACCTGTATAATTATAACACATTCTATTTTGAGGGTTAAATGCATTTAATTGGCAAGATAAACTCTTTAAGTAATTTTTGTAATTTTATTTGGAGACCTTTTCATTTAAATACATAAAAGCAGCCCCAGCCTCTCTCAGTTTCTGAAAGGCCCTGGTTAGAGATATGCTGTAGTGGGTAATTATGAGAAATATGGGGTAATATACAGTAGTATTTATTAGTGGGTAATTTAGGTACAGCAGTACCACCTTAAATAATTTAAGGGGGGTTACCATTAACACTGTATAATTGGGTGGGGTGGGTGCATGGGTTTTTTAGCAATATAGTTCACCCAAAGCTTAACCATGTACTTCCAATCTGTTCTGTGTGTCTTCAACATCAAGTTACTTCCTAGACACACTTCTCAAATAGTTTTTTTGTTTCTTTTCTTTCTTGCCCCTGTAGTTCTTCTTCCTACCCTCTCTTAACTTAATGGTGACTACCTTGAGGTCAACTAAATTAAGTGGCTTGGATGGAAAAGTAACTCTCTATAATTCTCCAAATAGATTAGATAATGCTGTGCTAATGGAAAATCCCCACACCTCAGTGGCTTAAAACAACAAAATTTATTCCTCACTCATCCTGCATGTCCATGTGGGTCACCAAGCAAGCTGTGCTCATTGTAAAAACTCAGTGACACAGGCTAATGGAGGCTACATTTTGATACATGCTGCTTCTGGTGCAGACACGGGGGAAGAGAGCATGGGAAATTATTTTCCAACTCTTAAAACATCTGCCAGATTCTGAGAAGATGGTGGCTAGGTTAGTGGCTGCATAGCTTTTGAATCTTCCAAAATTCTCACATAGCAACTGCATGGAAGGACAAACAAAACAGAAAATCCGTGTACATCTATAACAAAACTAAGTGACAAGGTTTCCCCCAAAACACCAAAATACAAGCGAGTAGAGACAAACCCCAAACACCCAAAAGCAGTAAAAGCTTCATGGGCTAGCATCTGTGCAAGGAAAAGCTGAGGAATGCAACAGGCTGGATGAGGTAACTGAGAACAACAGAATCCCAAAAGCTCTAAGAGATAGTCACTGGAAAGCATGGCTCAATGACTTAAGAACAGTTGGTGAAACTAGGAGGGGTTTTTCCCAAACCAGCAGAAAGTGAATGCAAGGTGACTCTGGTAAGAATAGAAAGAGCTGGAGCAGTCTGTTCCTGTGGGCTCTTAAAACTGACCAGCCAAGCCTCCCTTTTAGGCCAGGTTCCTACAGTGAGAAGAGACTGCTGGAAGTGAAACCAAAATCGAGCTGAATAAGATGTTTTACTTCCAGCTCTCATGCAGTAGCTGGGACAGTATTTGCCCTTCGGAGCCATAACAAGAAAACTGGACAAAACATAGGCGCAACTATTTTTGGACATTATACAATTCTATAATCCCTGAGAAAAGAGAGACAGCCTTATGACCCTGCTTTCTGCTGGAGACAAATTCCACTCCACAGTGCAGGAAGTGCATCCCAAGCAGAGCCTGGCAACCTTGTAGAGTTGAGGACAGAGTTGTACTCTTAATTCATTTAAACTTTATTCTTTTATTTTTATCAATATTACAGTATTTTAAAGCTATACTTCACTAATCACTGCTTTAATTATATCCAATAGATTTCATTATCAATTATGTCTTTAGAAGCTCTGAGATTTTGGGTTTTACTTCCTCTTTGCCCTAGAAGTACTTTTATAGAAAGTATGGCTGGAACTTAAAACAGTATTTTACTATTTTCTCATTTTATTGTGTTGTAATTAAAGAAGATTGCATTATTTCTATTTTATGGAAATTACAGTTTTCTTTGTGGTATATAGTAAATGGCCTTTTTTTTGAAGTGAGAATAATAGATGTATTCCCCATTATTTATTATTCATTATTATTATAAGGTGCAAAGTTTAATATTCAGAAGACATATAGATTCTGTTGGAATCTATAGGAGAGAATCAAAGACTTTCATTTAAAGCTGACAAACCAAATCGTTGAGGCTATAACATTCATAACTTGTCTATCTTCATTGTGAACTGTGGCTTTTAACAATAGTGTCCTTCTTGGTTTTTTGTTTTTTTTTTTCTGAATTCTACCTTATCGGATACAGAAATTGTAACCTCTGTCTTAATTTTTTTTTTTTGGTGGGGGCAGATAATTAGGTTTACTTATTTATTTACTGTTAGAGGAGGTACTGGGGATTGAACCTAGGACCTCATGCATGCTAAGCATGGGCTCTACCGCTTAAGCTATACCCTACCCGCTTAGCTTGTCAACTTTAAAAGATATCCTTTGGCTCGTACATATTGCCTTTGCAACAGAGCTCTTTGTACTGTCCCCTTCTTCTCTCCCTTCTTTTTTATTTACTTAGTTGTGTTACTTCCACCTTGTCAAAGTACGTGCCATCTGATACTATTCTTCCACCCTTATCCCCACTTCCACTTTGGTCTTAGATCTATAACTAAAGATACTCAATACTCACTACCAGTCCTTTTGCTGAAGTTTCCCCAATCATCTCTTCCTTGGATGAAGCTTGTTTGAGTAGAATCATAAGGGTTATGAGTACATCATTTCCTGAGCTCTTGCATAATTAAAACAAAATTTTTCAAACATCCTTGATACTTACAGGGCAACTTAGCTGGACATGAAACACTCAGTTCATATTTTTCCTTCGGGTTTCTTAAAAATATTGCTCCACTGCTGTTTGCTTTTTGAGAAGTTTGGTGCCAACCTGATCTTTCCTTTTTAAGAGACTAGGTCTTTTGGCCTAGACAGTTTTTTTTCCCTCAGCTTCAAAGTATAATACTTTGCAAGGCTGTGTCTCAGTTGATCATTCTGGGTCAGTTTTCCAAGTAACAAGATAGTAGTCCCCTTCAAGATATAGATTTGGGTCTTTTGTTTTCAGGAATTTCTCTTGGGGTACAGTTTTAAATAATAACTCTGTTCCATTGTCTCACCTCTTGGCTTTGAGATCTCCAATTTTCAGTGTTAGATTTCTTCTGCCTGTCTTCTTTGTCTCATTTTCTTCCTGGGCGTTTTCAGCTCTTCCCTTGTATTGCTTTTGCTGTCTTAGCTTTGTTCATCCCTATCTTCTATATGCTTTAAAGTATGTTCTATTTACACTGACATCCTTGTAATAACAGGCAACTCTGTGGGAGCAGAGGAAAAATGAGGAATGGATTCAGTCGCTTTCTCTGTTTCTTGATAGATGAATGCACTCTTCTGTTGATCAATAATGTTAAACTTCTCTAGTCAGTAATGTCTAGGTGGTGGTGGTAAGAATTGCCTGTTTTATTCCAAATCTTTGACTTACTGTTGTTGGCCATCAACCTTTGCCTTCTTGCTTCTTTGTTTGCCTTCATCCACCAAGCCTGCAAGGGACACCACTCCCTCTCAAGATGTCATTTTTCTCAGAAGTGGTTATCTCTAGTCCTACTCGTTTTCTAAACCCTTTCCCTTTGAGTTCCCACTAGCCACTGCTCTGATCCACCGGGTCTGTCAAACCTGTTTGTAGCATTTTCCTGCTCTGAGTAAGACCACAAGTAGTTTGGTTTAACTGAAGTCCCAACGTAGGTGAGGGCTTGTGGCACAAGAAAAATCTGGAGCATTTTGCAGAAGGCAGACCCAGAGGACCTTCTACGGAGGCTTCTGCAATAATTTGAGCAAAGATGCAAGGGGTCTAAAGTAAAACAGGAGGGATAAAGAGAAAGGAACTGCTTTAAGAGTTACCAAAGGAATAACCAACATGGTTGGTAACTGACTTGACATGGGAAAGAGGATATCTGAGTTTGAGGTTTGCATTCCTGAATGAACAAATGGATGGAGAGTGGTGCCAATTCACTGAAACAAGACCTCTAGAGGAGGAGGTTTGGGGAAGGGCGAAGGAAGATAAGTGGGGTCTGAAGTACCCCTGTGAGAACGCTGACAGACTCCAAGGAGAGTCCTGGCTGAAAACATAGATCTGGGTGTTACTGCTATAAGTAGCAATTGAAGCCCAAGACTAGATGAAACCATCCAACAAGAGAGGACAGAATGGGAGGGAAAGAGGAATGAGAACAGAGGCTTGGGACCCAGCAATAATTAAGAAGTAGACAGAGCAGAAGCATCAGTAAAGAAGAAAGAATAGGAGGGAAGGGGAGGGTATAGCTCAAGTGGTAGAGCACATGCTTAGCATGCACAAGGTCTTGGGTTCATTCCCCAGTACTTCCTGAAAAAAGTGAAAAAATAAACCTAATTACCACCACCCCCCCCAAAAAAAGAAGAAAGAATGAATGATAGATCAGGAAAGCAGGAGAAAAGTTGGAGAGAATGGCTAACAAAAGGAAGACAAGGATAAGAATAATTACTGCAATGGATTAAGACATATAAAATATGTTACATGCATCATATTGATACTAAAATCTAGTTGCTATTAGAGGATGCTTGGGAATCAACTCATTATTCTGAAAACTGGTGAATCAAGAGGAAAGAATCTGTTTTGCTATGTCTCCCCCATTCTGCTGATTTAGGTCCTGAAATGGGAAAAGTCACAATTTTTATTGGACATATCCCAGGCTGTGTTATCTTGCCTCCTGGGTTTAAAAGCAGAAAAAGAGAGATGTCTTCCTGCCCCAGAAAAAAAGCAGCCCATCTATGTTCAAGAAGATGCGCTAAGGCAGGCTTTAAGGTGGTCCTCGGCAGAGCTGGAGCACTACAAGGAGTCAGGTGGGCAGGCAGAGCTGCTCAGAACAGGGAAGCGGATCGTTGCTGTCCAGGGCCACATCTCCAAGTGGGATCAGTGAGCCTCGGCCTGCGGAATTCGCTCTGGAGGCTCCCGGGTCTGAGTCAGGATTCTCTGCTCAAGCTTGGCATACCGCTGGAGGAGGGCCTCATAGATCTGGAGGGGTGGAAAGAGCAGTTTAGAATGGGGAAGGGAAGGTGCCTCTTACATCGCTTTGCAATTTGCAATTTAAAAATTTCACATCCCATTTACTTGCAATTAATTTTTTTTTTTTGCTGGGTAGAAGAAAAGAAGTATAAATTCACAAAAAAGGAAATACTCCTAGTTTTCCAACCTATAGTTTAAGAATTTAAAAAAATGCAAATGATGACAAGAAGCCAAGTTTTGTTATCAGCTCTACAAAATTTTAAAAAATTCTGATGAAGGAACATTCCACAGTTGGCGGAAGCTGGTGGTATAACCCTTTTGGAAATCAACTCGACTTTATTTTTATTTTATTAAGGGGCTTGAAAATACCCATAGCCTTTGACTTGGTTATTCTACTTCAGCAAAGCTCTCCAGGGAAATAATCCTAAATGTGGGGTGCCAGACCCACCAAGGGTCTTCTGAGACACCACTAAACTTTCAGACTTATAAGGCTACCATGGGCCATACCTTGGTCCTCAAAAGGTTACACTGGAGAAACATGCCTGTTGGCACAGTGGCTGCAGGAGACCATGAAGAGTTTGCACAGGTGTCCTGGAAAGGGTTTCTTTGCCTCCCTGGCCTCTCCCCTCCTTGTGCCCCAGGTTACAGCTCAGGTGCCAGGAGATGAAATCCACATCTTACAGGTGCAAGAACCACCTTGGCTTTGAAACCTCATGTCCCACAAAAGTAACAACTCTGTAGGCAAGAGGCATGTCCATGAGAAGTCACTGCACTCAGGGAACACTAAGTATTTATGGTTTTATTCCTCCAATGCAGTTTACCACTCCAGATGCAGTTCCCTAATTCAAGGCCATTTTCACATAAGCAATGTTGCCTAGTAACACTGTTGACATTCCATTTTCATTAAGTCTCAAAAGGAAGCAGAGCTAGAAAATTAACCAAAGGTCAAATTCTCATAAAGAATAGGGAAAGGTTTTGTTAACCCTTTACCCACATAGGGTTAATTATAATAAAACTAGAAACTTGAAAAACTAGAAGGAACTGCTCTAAGACACGGAAAATACTCAAGAAAATGATGGCTCATTAGCCAGAAAGAATATTATGCGGCCATTAAAAATAATGTGTGTGTGCCCTTTTAAGAATATACGTTCTGAAGGGGAGGGTGTAGCTCAGTGGTAGAGCACATGCTTAGCATGCACAAGGTCCTAGGTTCAATCCTCAGTACCTCCATTAAAACAAATAGGCAGGACAGCTGTTGTTGGCCCCACTTCACAGGGGAAGAAACAGAGGTTTGGAGATACATGCTGCTCACGGTCACATGAAGGTCACACAAGAGAGGCAGGATAAGAATCAAGACCCAAAGGCTTTTTATCTCAACGGAGGATCTTTCTACTGTATTGAGCTGCCTCTTAAACAGAAGGACACACAACAGAAAATAATAGACACCAAGTGGGTGGGTTATCTGGTCACCTGTAAAGCATGAGCTTCTGCTTCCAAGATAGGCTGGGAGACAATTCTCCAGGGTATTTCTAGAGGTCTTGTGACAGCTTTTGTTCCAGACTATCTTTTCAAGGGTGTTTGTATAGCAAACAGCTTTGGAAGATAGAATGTGTAGCAGAATAATAAAGATATGTCTCCCTTGGGGGCAAAGGTTGAACAGGTCTGCCTGCAGCTCCTTTATAATGCTGGAGTTTCCTAAGCCCAGGGCCCCTCAGTTGAGACACAGACACACAGTGTGTGCACAATATCCACCTAGCCCACCCTGCACCGCCTCACAGTACTTCAGGAAAACTGCTGCAAATGTGAAGCTTATGCTGCCACCGTCCTGTGAGTAGTAAAGCCCTCTGTCTGTGTCGCCCCTGCTCCTGGGCTGCAAGAACCTTCTGCACACAGGAAGCGCGGAAAAGTGAATGCACTGGTGTACCACCCAGCCGGCCCTGCAGAAACTGAGAACTTACTCTCCCAGCCCTCAGCTGATAGCCTCCCTCTGGGGATTGCTTTGGCTATAGGGAGCTGCCTTACCCCATCCTTGGGGGGCCTGCATGCAATGACTGATTGACTTGGGGTCTAAAGGCCCATCCCCCTGACCACAACTGGGTGAAACTCCAAAGAGTCATCCCAGCTTCAGAACTTCCTGTAGGACTGGCTGAGAGCTCCACTGAGACTGCAATGCAGCTCACCTCCCCTACTGCCCAGTCCGCCTCCTCCGTTTCCCTTCCATAGATGCAGATCCCAAGAGCGCCCCCTAACAAGTCTCCCACATCCTAATTAACATCTCAGGGCCTGCCTTCCGGGAAACCCAACCTGTAAGAAGTGGCATGTGCCTTCATAGAGATTTCCTGGCCTGAGTGACTTGCACGGCTGTCTTAGATCCAAACTTCAAATGAGTGGTAGAAATCCAGCACGTCTTGTGCTTCAGTGACAGAGCCTTTCAGTGGCTTCTGTAACACAATGAAACAGGAGGGGCCACCCTGATGCATAAGAAAATATGCTCAGTGAGCCATCTGACCCCTGGGGCTGGAAAATCAGCACTATCTCTGAATCTCAGTTGACAACCTGGCTTCTTTTGCTGTTTCCTTGACAGAAAAAAAAAAAAACTTTTCTTTTAGTTGAGCACATCAACTGTAATGCAAGTGACAAAGAAAAACTTACCTTTTGGAAAAAAGAACCTTGTTGGTTTTCACAACACAAATACCATGAATAAATTCTGATGGTTTCTTACCTGAGAAGCTCCCGGGGTTGGGGTAGCAGCTAACCTGGGATTTGGGGCTAATTTCACCACCTCTGAAAAGGGCATGCCTGTTCCAGCTGCAAGGCCTAGAAGGGAAAGCTCATTTCTCATCAGTGCACGTTGCAAATGAGGCGTTACCCCGAGATAGCATTTTATCTCTGGAGTAATAAAATGTCCTAAAACTGGATTATGGTGATGGGTTGTACAACTCAGTACATTTAGCAAAAATCACTGAATTGTACACTTCCGTATGGGTGACTTTTATGTTGTATAAACTGCCTCCATGAAACCGTTTTCAAAAAACAAGAGAAAGACAAGAAAAATTTCAAGCGCAGGCCTCTTTTCAGCCAGCCCTCGTTTGTCTGAAGCGCATGTCAGAAGGCAACTAACCCCTGACCTCTGACACAAGGGAGGGTCTGCCGGCCTCTCCTTCCTCACATGGCTCCACTCTCCCCACCGCTCACTGCGTTCCAGCCACGCTGGCTTCTTTCAACTCCTTCTGCCTCAGAGCCTTTTCACTGTAGGGAATATTCTCTGCTCTCTTCTCCGAAAAGCTGCCGCTGAAAACATCCCGTCTACCCCCTCAGCACGTCTCACCATTTCTGATACAGATTTATTTACGGTCCCTCCCTGGCTGAGCTGGAAGCTCTGAGAGGCCAGCACTGAAGCCCTGGTGCCTAGCACACTGCCTGCATACAGGAGGCACTCAATAAATGCTCACCAAGCAAATGAGTGGCAGGGCTGGGAAGAGGGAAGGTTGTCATTGGTGAGCAAGAAACAGTGAGGGATTTCCAGGCAATTTGAGGAGTAGTATCAGATGGAAAGGAAACTCAGGACCACACAGAGGGAAGGAGGGCCCACGGAAGATGTGAGACCCAGTTTTCTCACCGAATGCTGGAAAATCCCAGCCCGGAGCTGGGCGCATGATGGGGCAGTGGGTGGTGGGGTGGCCGGCAGACAGACTACTCCAAAGACCCTGGTCCCCCTCCACTCACTCCCAGACTGGCTTTGCATGACTGGCTTTTGTCCCCGGACCCAGGTGGAGAGAATGGATGTCCATGGAAAGTGGCTGATGTGCCTCCGGGTGGGAACTGGTGTGCAGGAACCTAGCTCAGACTTTGGTTTTGGAGGGCAGAGCAGGGCAGTGCCCCACGTAACCGGTGGCAACAAAATAGGCACAGAAAAGGGAGAATAAGGAAGAAACACAGTGTGGCATATCAGTGGAGGCCCCGAAGGGTACTTCCTTTCCTGCTGCAGTGGAAGGAGGAGCAGAAAGTGAACCCAACTCCTCATGGACAACACTGAAGACTGGAAGCTTCTGGAATGGTGTTTTCAAAGTTCTGAGGAAAATATTTTAAACTTAGAGTCCTCTGCCCAGCCAAAGTAGCATTCTTTGGGAGGGTGAAACAAAGCTCTTATTGGACATGCAAGCCCTCAGAAAATGATCACCTACTGAATTCCCTCTTTAAAATGTATTCAGGCTGTATGTTCCAACAAAACTAGCATAGAAACAAAGAAGGAAAAAGAAATCTTTAGGAGTTAAAAAAAAAAGAAAGAAAAGAAAGGCAGACAAACTCATAGGTAAGGGGAAATAAAAGCCAACATGATGTAAAGTTTGATTAAAAATGTAACAGTCTGGGAATAAATTGCCTGATGATCTTGATATAGGAGTGGCAGAAGGTGGGGTGAGGCATATAGGATGGAGAGGGAGGGGAACTAAAGAGTAAGAGGTTAATTATTAACAGAAAGCTATGGCCCTGACTAATTCTCAATGTAGACAGAAAAAATACAAATTTAAATAGATGGGTTAAAAAGTTAAGGATAAATGTATGAAGAATGGCTCTGCTAGAGGGAAAAGACAACGCCCTTTGGTATATGAGCAGCTGGAGGAGCAGCCCGCGCAGGCAGAGGACAGGGCAAATGACCACATGGGTGGAAGAACGCCCTGTGGACCTGTGCTGCTCCCCCCAGAACGTGCCGAGGCTGGGGAGACTCCTATATTACCCAGAGTTTCAGGGAGGCCTCCATCAAAGCCAAGGTCTCCCCACGGAGCTGTCCAGGGTGCTGGACTGCTTGGCTCTGAAGCCTTCATCTTTGTCTCAACTTCCTGCTCTTGTTGAAAACAGCTCTGGATTTTATCCACCTCTCCTGCCCACCAGCTGTCCAGACCCACACTTGGATGCCCTCAAGCATGCCCTACATCCTCTCCCTATGTCCCTGTGTTGAGCCTGACTCTGACCGGGCCTCATTTAGTTAGGACCCTGCTCTCTTTCCTACTTTAAGTAGAGAACAAAGGAACAGAGGATTTGGGCTGGTTCTCCGCTGTTGGGAGGGAAGAAAAATGAAACTAAAGGCCCCAAGCCTCCCATGTCCCTAAAAACTGGGAACATCTTGACCTCCCTTTTCCACCATCTTCAGCCCAGCCAGTGCCCCAACCGCTTCCAGAGGCATCTGCCCCCATCCATGGACTTACCATGGAAAGCTCGGTAAGCAGAGCCCACACAGGCTGAGTTGGTGGTGTCTATGACGTACACCGGGGCACCAAACACATCTGCAAGCACCTGGAAAAGACAGAGGTTCTTACTGTGGTGACTCATTCCTCAGAGGGAACACTGACATTGACATGCATTTTCCAGGATCTCCTTCCTCATGTCTTCTGATACCTTCCATCTCACCTCTACTGCCTTAAAGGAAGTATACTTGGCCATGTCACCCTGGTGATAATAGGGTCAGGACGACCTGGGAGAAGTCTCTAGTGGAGGACCACAGCTCTCTGGGTTGTCGCTGCACTGTTTAACCATTTTATCAAAGACAAAGAAGAAGATGTAGAAAGTATGCTTAGCAAATAGTCAAGGTGGAGATGGCCAGGCCTCAGACTCATATTAACAGGCCCAAACTAATAAGGGCATGTTTTACAGGAATATAGTTTTCCATGTAGGTCCCTAAAATAAACTGCCTAAATTTAGAATGCAGGGCCTGTATTAAGAGGAGCTCGCATAGAAAAGACTTGGGGTCTTAGTTGATCAGAGATATTGTTGATGCCCCATCTGGATCCCCTTACTGGACTGGTGTGACCCCCTCGCCCAGATGCTGTGAGTACTGGCTGCCAATGGCTCACAGCTGCCCCTCCTCAAAATAACTGCTCTTGGCTGAACAGAGGCTGCTTCTCACAGGAGGTTATTCTCACCTCTTCCTAGGGTAGCCAGTTGGCTCCCTCACCTCAAGATGGAGCCAAGTCTGGGGCACAGTTCATGTTCCATATCTCCCCAGGGGATGGAGCTGACACTGACTCCAGCCAAAACCTTATCCTTGCTTACCCTTCTTCCCCTGCCCTACCTGCATCCCTCAGTCCCTTTTTCCTGGGAGTACTCTCTCAACTAATCACTTACAGAAGAATTCCCATATCAGGCTCTGCTTCTAGAGAACCTTACCTTAGACAGGTATATTACAAGTCAACACTTGATGCAGTTACTCAAACAGCTAAGGCAGCCTCAGGCTACATTCAAAAATGCCCAGTGTCCCAGTAAGATATTGACAGCCCCACCATGTGACAGCCTGACTGTCAGATATCAGTAGGTTGATTCTACTTTGGGGCATCTCTTTCTAGCATAATGAAGCACCAGGAAAACAGTGACAAGGTCTGGCAACTGTATTACAAGAAGAACGGTTGGGAAAATCAGAGATGTTTAAACTAGAAGGGAGAAAACTTGAGGAAGACAAGAACACTGGCATTAGATGTAGAAGGTTTTCCAGGAAGGACAAATGCTTTCTGCGTGACTCCAGAGGCCAGTGCTGGTATGAGAGTAGAGATGAACATTGGATTTCACCTGAGTATTAGACAGAACTTGCTCGCTTTGTGAGCTGCAAAGTAACAGAGCTGGCTTCCAGGGAGACTATGAGCTGTAAGCTCCCTACCCCTGAAGGAGTGGGAACAGAGGCAGTCCTTACTACTGAGTGTCTGGCTCGACATGGAAGAGGCCCTAGAATAGGGCCTGCTACCAGCACTTACCTGTAAGATGTCTCTGTTATGAGATGCCCCTCCCGTGGCCAAAATCTTTGTCTTGGGCACTATAAGGAAAAAGGAAAAAAAAATGGCTGTGACAATTCCCTCCAGGCAAAAAAGGCTGTTTTCCAGAGTTCTTCAGCCACAAAGGGCTGGTGTTGGGCCAATGCCTCTTGCTGGTCACACAGGACTGGGGAGAGTGATCCAGAGTGGGCTCTGTCCATGCAGGCCTGGCACACATAACTTGCTTGTGAGGCTGCTGCCCCACCTACCACTTACAGCTCTCAGGCTTTGTATGTGTGTATTTTTTTTAACTATTAAAAAACCAAATCTCTCAACAAACCAGGAATAGAAGGGGCCTTACTTAAATTGATAAAGGACATATATCCAAAATTTACAGCAAACATCATTCTTAACAGAAACATTTATGCAGGGAGGGTATAGCCTAGCAGTAGAATGCATGCTTAGCATGTATCAGGTGATGGGTTCAATCCCCAGTACCTCCATTTAAATAAATAAGTAAATACCTAATTATCTCCTCCTCAAAACAAACAAAAAAACAAAAAGACCCAGAAACATTCTCTTTACAGGTATACCTGTCAGACCCCAAAAATGACCTCCAAACGGTCCCTACTCCGATACTCCTACATTCATGTGGTCCCCTCTCACATTCAATAGGGCTGATGCATGTGACAAACAGGATATTGTGTAAATGATGGAGTGTGAACCCCAAGACCAGGTCCTATAAGACACTGGAAGTGGTTCAAGCACTGGGAATAAGTGGTTTAACAAGACAGGTGAGATTCTTGCCCTCAGACAACTTGTTTCTCTAGTTGGGGAGTGACAGACAATAGACAGACAGATAAGTTAACAAAATCGATGCTCATAGTGACAAATTCAAAGATGAAATAAAGCAGAGTGAAATTAGGACCGGGGGCTAACACCTGGTTAATATAGGGTTTCTCAATGTCAGTACTGTTTTGGGCTGGGTAATTCTTTGCTGTGGAGGGTTGTTCTGGACATTGTAGGACGTTTACTAGCGTTCCTGGCCTCTCCCCATGAGATGCTAGTAGCTTTGCTACTATGACAAACAAAAATATCTCCAGATATTGTCAAATAGCTGCTGGGGGCGGGGAGGGTGGGCAAAACAGCCCCTGTTGAAAACCACTGGTCTACTGTGGATTATAGTAAAAGAAAAAACAAAGGACAGAGAAAACAGAGGAAAAAATAATTAAAGAAATCATATAATAAATGTTCCCAAGCTGCATAGTCAGGTGTATGCAGATAAAAGAGGCTCAGCACTTTCTATGCCAGGACACTCAAAGGAGAAGTTTTAGAATTCTGAGAAGACAGAGAAGGTTCTAGAAGATTGTCTAGCAAAAAAAAATACCATTCACATGGGCATCTGGCTTCTCACTGACAACACTAAAAGTCAGAAAACAATGGAACATTATTTTCAAAGTTCTGAAATACTATGATTTTTCAACTCAGAATTCCACATACGATAGAAGCAGCATTTAAGTGTGAAGGTAAAATAAAAATATTTTCAGTCAGAGACCACCCCCCACAAGTACCCCCACCTCTACATGAAAGAACCAGTCAAGGATGTCCTGAAGCCGAGTTAGATGTGTCACATAATAAAGAGCAGTAATCAAATAAACCAGCTGGATACATAACTTAAATAATTCCTGATGTATAATGCACACAAATCAGTAACCTTCTGGAACCAGAAAATGAGAGGTAAAGAAAAAAGAGAGAGGACATTACATCTTTTGAGTGGAGAGTGTAATGACTGAATAGGATGTAAATTCCAAATACTGATTTTATAAAAACCATAAATTTTAGTACCTATGTTAAAAATTTAAGGGTAATTATTAGAAAAAGAAGTAGTAGAAATATTTTCAGGGGCCAGAGGGACGGTGTACCTGAGTGGAGCAGGTGGCATAGGACACCAGGTGATGGTGTGTGACGCCGGGGCACCTATGTAAGCAGGGGCTACCTAAAGGTATATGAAGAAAAAATTTTAACATTATGCTAGCCAGAATGATAAGGTCTAGAAAGAGCATATGTAGTCAGTAAACTGTCAGTTTACTACGAAGGCCAGTTAAGAGGAAGAGATGGAAAAAGAAAAACCAGCCAGGGACATTTACAAGCTTGTTCATGGCAGTGTTATTCACAAAACTGAACAGGAAAGACCAAGTGTGTATGACAGAAGAATGGATAAATAAATTGTGGTATAGTCATGGATGGAATGCTATCCTGCAATGAGAGTTAACAACTAATAGATACACCACTGAGACGGACGGATTCATAAACGTAATGTGAGCTATAGAAGCGAGTCACATAAGAACACGTCCAGTATAATTCCATATACCATGAAGTTCAGACCCAGGCGAACAAGTCAGTGTAATCTGGGGGATACATTCATAACTGTCAAAACCATAAAGAAGTTCAGGGGAATGATAATGCAAACCTCTGGGGGTTGATGGGGATGAAACTGAAGAGGGTACCCAGGAGGGTTCTAAGATTCTGAAAATGTTCTATTTCTTTTTTTTACGGGGGAGAATTAGATTTATTTATTTTGTGTTTTTTTTTTTAGTAGAGGTACTAGGGTTTGAACTCAGGACCTCATGTATGCTAAACATGCAATCTACCTCTGAGCTATATACCCACCCTTCTATGTTCTAGTTCTTAACCAGAGTGTTCAGGAACAAGTGCTTGATTTATTAATATGCTATACAATTAGCTGTATGAAGCATATATGCTACTGTATGCATGACATTTTTCACAATAAAAAATAATAAACCTCCATCTAGTAAAAGACATAGTTCCATTTCAGGTTAAAATGGAGATGGTCAAGAAAGCACAGCCATTGTGCTGTAACAATGAAAGACTGCTGAATAAACAAACAAACAAAAACATATTTTTATGTAATCCTATCAAAAAGTTGTAAAGCCAAGAAGTTTAAATAAATTAAATTCCCAGGAGAGATGAGCTCTGAAGTGCTGACTTGCTGTACCTGCCATGCAAGGTAGGTGGCATAGTAACCCTCCAGAGGGACATAAACTACCAGGACAGAGAAACCTGCCAAGCATTGGGTGGTGTTGGTGAAACGTAGAGGTCTCAAACACAGAGTTACTGCTCCCCACCCCCACCCTCCCCCAAGGACTCAGGGTAAGTGCTGTTGCGGAAGCTGGGGGCAGGGAGGGAAAACAGAGACTGAGAGAGCTCTGTAATCTCTTAGATCTGCTTAGATCCCTAAATTCCGTGTCACGGGACTCTTTCACAAGAAGAAGTGTTCCTTTATTATGCAAGTATTTAAAAACAAATAAATGTTGTAAGCCCCTGCAGCCTCCCCCATCCTCATCCGCAGCCATCAGAAGCGTGCCTGGGCTGGAGAAAGGGGAAGGAATGTCAGCCTGCTAAGGAAACAATCCAGGACGAGGGAAGATGTTGTGGTGTGATTCCACACTGGAAAAGCAAAACGTGCTCTATTGCCGACTGCGGGAAAAGTCAGCTGGGAGTGATGGAAAGCACCACGTAGAAGGTTTTGACACACTTCTGGGTTTGTATGTACCCTTTGTAGGTACAAAGGGAACAGGACTATGGTTTTATGAAAATAAGGTCATAAAGGAGACTGGAAGAAAATACGTCCAGAGGGTGCAGGTGGCTGGGGAGAGGGGACAGGACTAAAGGTAGTTTTCTTCTCTTTATTTTGCAGACTTGCTTTTATAAGGCTTTGTTGCTCTTTTAAGTCAACCTAAACGAAATGTACATAGAGACAAGCTGAAAAGGGACCATGGCTTTAGCCCTGCCCAGCTGGGTGCACACATGTAATGGTGTCTAAACATCAAAAGAATGATCATTCCTTAAAGAAGTAGATGTAGCCCCGCAGTTAAGAACCCAGAGTCTGCAGACAGACTGGCTTGGTTCAGAAGCTCTCCAGCCTCTAGCAAGTGATGGAACGCTCTGAGTCTTGGTTTCCTACTTTGTGAAGCAGGAGTGATGCCCCAGAGACACTGTTTTTATTAATAAAGTACTTAGGTACCAGGCTGGGCACACAGTAGGTGCTCAATAAATGTTGGCAGCTATTATTATCATGATCATCAGTCTTACTTCAAATGCCTTTTTATTCTCCTTAGACGTTATTAAGATGAGATTATGACTGATCAAGAAAAAATGTGATGGGGGCAGCATAGCTCAGCGGCAGAGCACATGCCTAACGCGTACGAGCTCCTGGGTTCAATCCCCAGTACCTCCATTAGAAAAAAAGAAAAGAAAAAATGCTAACAAGTCAGCCCACATGGCAGCGGGCAGGATGATGCCTCCCCTTTGTGCAGCCCTTTCTGAGTTCAAGTGTGTTCATTTATGTGACCTTGTTGGAAAGGGAACCCAGCAGAGCTGGCAGGACAGGTTTGATTCTGCTCCTAAGCTTGCTAAGAGGATAGGTAACTTAATGCGGTTTTGCACAAGAATCCCTTCCAAGGCTGGGGATGATGACATGACCGCACTAGCCACCACCACCACCCCCCGCCCCCGAGCCCAGGAGGAGCCCTCCACCCTCACTGCCTCTCCCTGCAGACTGGGCTGGGGGTGAGAGCTCCCCAGAGTGTCCCCTCCTGACCACCGGAAAACCCTCCTGCCAGGCACTCGGGCCCATCTCAGCACCCCCCACCCCGCCCTGCTCACCAGGTCTCATTTCTCAGGGAGCTTTGAAGTCTTTGGAGACCTTTTTACACTCTGAGTGGTGGGATGGAGAGGAGTGGGAATGTTTACAGAGTTCATTCTATTAAAAAGTTTATCTAAACTACAACACACAACCTGAAATACATACATGCATAAGCTGACAGCTGGACACACTTTCACAACTAAACACTCCTGTGTAACCCATGAAACAGAACCTCACCAGCACCCCAGAGGCACTCCAGGCCCCCCAGAAGGTGATTACTAACTACCCCAGCTTCTAACAACAGCAGATAGTTTTGCCTGCCTTTGAATTTGACACCTGGGGAATCTGCCACACATACTTTTGGGTTTGTCTTCTTTTGTTCACCATTTTCATTTGTGAGATTCGTCCATTTTACTGCGGGTGTTTGAGGCTGGTTCACTTTCATTTCTGTGCAGTATCATGTCGCCTGAACACCCCACGATGCATTTATCCTGTCTACCATCGACGGACATTGGGCTGTTTCCAGCGTGGGGCTGCTAAGCTCAGGGCCACGGCCAGTGTCCTGTCCGTCTACAGCGAACATGTGCACACGTCCCTGTCATGCACCCGCCGGGAGGTGAGGCTGCTGGGCAGGCATGTATGCAGCCTTAGTCAACGCTGCCTAACAGGTTTTCCAAAAGGTTTACCTAGTGCTTATTTTTAAAGCATCCTAAAGCATAAAATATAAACTACACAGAACTTGGATTATCCAGAAACGTATCAAGAGGAAGCCCTCGAGCACAAGCTTCAGGAGTTTTCTACTTTCTCTTGACAGCAGCAGCTGCCCAGAGGGACAAATATACACACACAGGGGCCAGGATCCACCTCCCTCTTGCACGAGGCCCTTGTAATGGAGTCTTAACAGAGTGGCCACTGAGCCCGGCCTGACGGCCAAGAACGGTCTCAAGCCTTCAGGGTATGGGCAGGACCCTTGGCCCCCAACCCAAACCAAAGCCCACCAGCAGCAGCTCACTTACTGACTCGATAGCCCAGGCCCTCAGCATGAATCTTCTTGGCCATGAACTGTCCTTCGATCAGTGCTCGAATCTCCACATCCCCAGGGAATGCTGAGACCTGTCCCCAGGAGAAAGTGGGCACAGAGTGAGAAACTCTCGTTGTCAACTCACTGCGTGTATGTGGTGTGTGTGTAGGGTGTGTAGGTGTGTATAGGTGTGTGGCATGTATGGTGTGTGTGTGTTGTATGTGTGTGTCTTTGTGCATGTGTGTGGAGTCTTTTTAAACCACAGCCCAGATTCGGAGCCCACGACTCAGGCCTCCACTGGAGCTCATCCACAGTTGGGCTCTTGAACAACTAATTTTGCCTGTCAGACACTCACACACACACACACACACACACACACAACACACACACGCACGCACGCTCGCACCCACGCGCTCACAGCCTCAGGCGCTTATCACTGCGGGGAGTCAGAGCATCAGAGAACTCAGTCTCACGCCGACAAGGGTTCAAGTTCTGTCTCTGCTGATCAGCTCTGTGACCTTGGATAAGTTACGTAAATCTTGCTGAGCCTCACTGACCTTGAATAAGTTACATAAATCTTGCTGAGCCTCACTGTCTTTTTTAACAAAAGTGAGGTGATGGTGGTCCCTGCCTTAGGGATGTTAGAAAGCAGACAATAGGGCCTGGACTCCGCAGCTGACGCTCACTCAGGGAGAGCCAGGGGCATGTGCTGGGAACGCATGCTGTGGCACGCCCTTCGGGCTAATGCCGAACGGCACCAACTCCAGCCTAGCCGTCTCCTCAGCTCCTGAGACCAGTGATGGACAGTGCCACCCCCTCCCTGGGGAACCGTTCCAACCCCACTCACCTGCTTTCCGTTCCTCAAACTGCTCCCTCTGCCGGGAGTCTGCCCACACTTCCCATGTGGGGTCCCTCTCATCCCTCAAGTCTCCACCTCCAGGCCACCTCCTCAGGGAGGCCCACCTGGTTACCCCACCCAGGGCAAGTCCCTGGCCCACCCCTGCTTTCCCCTGCTCCCGTCCCTTCCCATCTCGGCTGCATCCCACACCACATCGTGTGTGCACTCATTTGATTACATTCTCCTGGACACTGGGCTCCGTCTGTGGAGCAGTGATCCCCCTGTCTTGCTCTCCTTTGTGTCCCCAGTGCCTGGCACCACTCACACATATCTGTGGAGAGAATGAATGAACAAAGAAAATCACCTTCTCCTTAACAAACCTAGGCAGCTTTACACAAAGGAGAACAGGCATATCTTCTTTCCATGAACGTCAGAAACCAAACTGACCCCTATCAGGAGACAGAGATGAATTCCCTACACTTTATATAAAGCTTTCCACCTACCACTCAGTATGCCATGCCAGCACCGGCCGTATACTCCAACCCTAACTGCTACAGTCACTAGGCAGAATGACTTACTAAAGCTCCCCAGACGTTTTTTTAGGGTCACTTGTCTCTCAGGTCCAATCGAAAACGTGGCGATGACTCTGGCAACCAAGTGTCTCACAGAAAAGTCAATTCCAAGCAGCAAGTATTGACCAAATCCCTAGGACTCGGTTGGGCCCCCTCCACCACCCACGCCCTCGTGCATCGGACGCCTTATTTGCCTCTCTGAGCCTCAATCTCTCCATCTGTACAGGGGATACTACTAATTCACAAAGTTGCTTTGAGAGGAAATCAGAAACATACAGAAACCCACCAGCACAGAACCTGGAACTAAACTGTGCTTAATAAACGCCCACAAATGTTGGTGCCTCCTGTCCCAGAAGCTCTTTTAATCAGGAGGAAATTCACGATCTGGAGGTGGGGGGTGTAGTATAAGGCTCGCCAAGGAAACAGGCTCTGTGATGCTCAGGGACGTCCGTGGGAGCACACGTTAGCTCGGGGAGGATCCTTTGGTGTCCCGTGCCCCTCTTTGTGAGGAAGTATGACATCTGTCTTAGATTCTGCTGATAACCCAGCACCTAGCGTGCACCCTGGCACATTGGAAGTATGTTTTACTATGACAAACCTACTGCCAACATAATACCCAACAGTGAAATCTGAAACCCTTCCTGCTAAATTCAGGAACAAGGATGCCCACTCTCATCACTTCTACTCAGCATAGTCCTAGCCACAGCAGTCAGACAAGAGAAAGAAGTAAAAGGGATCCAAATTGGAAGGGAAGAGGTAAAACCGTCACTATCTGCAGATGACATGAAACTCCATAGAGAACCCTAAAGTTCCCACACAAAAACTGTTAGAACCAATAAATTAATTCAGCAAGTAGCAGGATACAAGATTAATATACAGAAATCTGTTATATTTCTTTACACTAATAATAAAATATCAGGAAGAAAGTAAAAAAAAATCCCATTTAAAATCATATCAAAAAAACAAAAAACAAAAAACCCTAGGAATAAACTTAACCAAGGAGGTGAATGACCTATATGCTGATATAAAACAATGGTAAAGGAAATTGAAGATGATTCAAAGAAATGGAAAGCTATCCCAGGCTCTTGGATTGGAGGAATTAATGTTAAAATACTACCCAAAACAATCTACAGATTTAACGTGATCCCTATCAAAATGCCTATGACATTTTTCACAGAACTGGAACAAATAATCCTAAAATTTATATGGAACCACAAAAGGCCCAGAATTGCCAAAGCAATCCTGAGGAAAAAGAACAAAGCTAAAGGCATAACCCTTCTAGACTTCAGATTATACTACAAAGCTACAGTTATCAAACTGTACTGACACAAAAACAGATCAATGGAACAGAACACAGAGTCCAGAAATCAACCCACATGCCCATGGCCAATTAATCTACAACAAAGGAGGCAAGACTGTACAATGGAGAAAAGACAGTCTCTTCAGCAAGCAGTGTTGGAAAAGCTGGATGCCTACGTGTAAATCAATGAAATTAGAATACTTCTTCACTCCATATACAAAAATAAACATAAAATAGTTTAAAGACCTAAATACAAGACATGACACCATAAAACTCCTACAAGAGAACATAGACAAAACATTCTCTGACATAAGTCAATAAAATGAAAAAAATCCACAGAACAGGAGAAAATATTTGCAAATGATGCAATCAACAAGGGCTTAATTTTCGTAATACACAAACAACTCATATAGCTCAATAACAAAAGAAACAAATAACCCAATCAAAAAAATGGGCAGAAGACCTAAACAGAAATTTCTCCAAAGAAGACATACAGATATATGGCCAACAGACACATGAAAAGATGCTCAAAAGTGCTAATTATTAGACAAATGCAAATCAAAACCATGATGAGGTATTACCTCATACTGGTCAGAATGGCTGTCATCAAAAAGTCTACAAATAATAAATGCTGAAGAGGATGTAGAGAAAAGGGAACCCTTCTACACTGTTGGTGGGAATGTAGTTCAGTGCAGCCACTATGGAAAACAGTATGGAGGTTCCTCAAAAAATTGAAAATAGAGCTACCATATGATCCAGGAATCCTACTCCTGGGTACATATCCAGAAGAAATGAAAATTCTAATTCAAAAAGATACATGAAACCGAATGTTCACAGCAGCACTATTTTATAACAGCCCAGACATGGAAACAACCCAACTGCCCATCAACAACTAAATGGACACAGAAGATGTGGTACACACACGCACACACACACACACACGAATACTACTCAACTGTTTAAAAGAATAAAATATTGCCGTTTGCAGCAACATGGACGGACCTAGAGAACATTATGCCTAGTGAAGTAAGTCAGAGAAAGACAAATACTATATGATATCACCTACATGTGGAATCTAAAAATAACGCGAATGAATCCATATATAAAACAGAAACAGGCTCACTGATATAGAAAATAAACTTCTGGTTACCAAAGGGGAGAGGGAGGGAGGGAGGGACATATCAGGAATATGAGATTAACAGATACAAACTACTATACATAAAATAGATAAGCAACAAGTGTTTACTGCATAACACGTAATTATATGCAGTATCTAATAACCTAAAACGGAATGTAATCTGAAAAAAATAACAATAACTTTTCTGTACACTTGAAACTAACACAATATTGTAAATCAACTATACTGCAATAAAGAAAACAAATTTTAAGTGTTTTATCAATAGCTGAGTGAATGAATAAGGTCCCTAAAACTAAAGTAATTCGATAGGCATTTGTTAAATAGTCAAAAATGGAGCCAACTTAGCTCTAAGACCAATGATGCACGTACCTCTCGGTTTTCTGCAGTAAACCTATGACGGCCAATAATTTCAGGGGTGATCTCCATTACATCAAAATAAAAACCTGAAACAAGACCAGGGAGAAGTTAGCTATCAGTGATCAGAAACGGGAGATCAGGTTCTAGGTAGCTTTAGGAAACAGCAGGGTGAGATGGCCCTCTATCTCTGTCCCCCAGGCCCCTCGCCCCCTGGATGGGACCTGTGAGTACTCTCAGCAGGACAGAGGGCAACTGGAAAGGCCTAGGCTAGCTTTTCTTTAGCTTTATTGATTTATTTAACAGAGGTCCTGGGGATTGAACCTAGGACCTCGTGCATGCCAAGCATGCGCTCTACCACTGAGCTATACCCTCCCCGCTCTGGGCTAGCTTTTCTTAGAAGCAGTTCTTCCTACTCTCACCTGGCAGCCCAGGCCACTAGGCAGCTGCCCCACTAACCCTAAAATGCCAGCAGCAGAGGTTTCACCAAGGGAGGTTTGTCCCCTCCCTGCTCAGAAGGCCTGCCCCCAAGCTGGGCACTTCTCCTGACAGGACCTCGTGTCTGTGGCAGAATGCTGCATGTGGGGGCACACTGGGGTAGAGCGGGCACTGGGGCTGCCATGTCTGATGCCACCAGGGGCTTCAAGGGGCACAGGCATGGCTCCCTTTGGCTTCTCCGCGGCCCACCTCTCCCTGTACTCAGGGGGCCGCAGGCCCTGCCCCTCCCACCAGCAGCTGCTGCCCCTTCACAGGCCCGGGCACCCCCAAACAGCCTACCCAGGTTTCCACTGTTCCCCATCTCCGTGGACTGCAGTGCCTTGGAGAACTCACTCCAGGAATGGGAAGCAGACTCATCACGGATCTTCTCTCTCATGAGGGAGCCATTTTTAAAGCTGTAGAAGTGCATACAACCCTGAGGGAAGGACCCAGGGCTTGCTGACCGGACCCAGGGGTTTTGGTGAAAAGTCTCAGGTAGAGGGGTTGCAGGTCAGGCTGGACCACAACCCCAGCCAGGGCACAGACAGGGATCTGAGGTTCCTCCTCAGGTGTCAGGTGCAGCACACGGCCCTGGGAGTCACCAGGAAGCACACTTGTCTTGGGCTGTTTATAGAGGAGGTCACCATGAAAGAGCCCAAGGGAGAGACGGACATGTGGTTTCAGCACATTGTACCATCTGGACAAGAGCAGGGCTGGCTAGATTTACCAGACCCACATATTCTCCAATGGTTCTTGGAGCTTAGAGGCCAGAAAAACCTTCCTCAGTAGCTTCCAGTGGGTCCCCAAATGCCTGTTTGAAGCGTTCAGAGCAGACCCTTTCCATGAGAATGGTCAGGAAGCAGGACATCCTTACTACCATTAGTCAAAGGTCCACCACGTGCCAGACACGTCATACCAACACTGTGAAGTAAACCTCTTATTCTCTGTTAACCAGCAAAGTGTGGCTCAGATGGGCCTCAGGCCACACAGGACACAGCTGTTGGGGGTGGGATTTGTAGCCGGGTTTGGGAGAGACTCCAGGTCCTAGGTGGCTTCCCACCCAACGCTGCTCTCGGCAGTGAGTCCCTGGGGTCCCCGCTGCAGTGGAATGACCTGTGGGGGCGCCACATGGCCTTCCCCACCCAGCCTACCACAGAAGCGCCATGTAGTGCTGCGGGTCCACCGGGCTGCAGAAGATGTGGCCTTCCAGGGCGGGCGTGGGCTCCTGGAGCCAGAGAAACAGGGTGTCGCTGGTGCCCAGGCTGACCTGGGGAGGGAAGGGCAGAGGTGAGGTGCCTCCGTCTCTGCCCAGCTCCACCCGCCCTGACCCTGCCGCTTCCCTCCTCACGCTGCAGACCTCGGAGTGAACATCACCTCCTCAGAGAAACCTCTTCTGACCCTCCCACACCAGATGAGTCCACAGTCAGCTGCTTGGATTCCGGTCGATTTTCTAGAACTTACCACAACAGCCTCTAACTAATGGTTTGGGTGATGACTGGTTCACCAAACCCAGAAAAGCCTGGGTTATGTCTGTCACCTCAGGAGCTCACAATCCTCTGGCCTGAGGTCTGACCCTTCTGCCACTGTGCTCGCCAGGTCTGGCCACTGTCAAGGCAGGCAGGGGACTGTCTGCTCAGCAAAGGCAGCTGCGCTTTAAGAGAGGAGATGTGGACAGGTCCTGGGGCCTGGGTCTCCCTGTCTCCTCCCTCAGCTGCCTTTTGACCCTGGAAGCTCTTGACAGGCACCAAAGATGCTGCCAAGACCTAGCACCCTCATCCCCAGGGCAGAAAGAGCTGAGCCCGCCTGTGGGTGTAAGAGGTCACCTTACCGCAATGTCACCTTCCTCCAGCCTCATGCCGGCCAGTGACGCTGAGAATGGGAGGGGAGGCTGTGGTTAGCTGGAGGTCACATGGGAGATACAAAACAAACCAGTCACCCCCCGAATGGGAGCGCAGCACCCACCTCCCACCCCAATCCACAAGCTAGGGTAAAGTTAGGAACAGAGTGACCTGAGGGCTCCAGAGGCCCCAAGGGCCAGCGGGGGGAGTCTCTGTAGTCAGGGCCTCTGACTTGGGCTGGGAAAACTCATCTAAAGGGGTCCAAACTCCCCACCCACCGTCAGGCGCTCCCAGGAGTACAGAGAACCAAGGGGGCCAAGTCAAGACACCAGGACACAAATGGCAGAGAAAGACCACGGCAAGGCAGGAGGGAGGGGCTCTCCCCTACCACAGCGGTATGGAAAGGGGCAAGGTTTTGTTGACTGTCCCCTTATGTGAGGCCCACGACAGCAATGCTTACCTGCCTTGCTCACTGATACACCCCGGAACTGGAAGAAGGCCTGCCATGGAGCAGGTGCTCAGTAAACGATGAGTGAATGAATGGATGAATGAATGAGAAACGTGGGTTGGAACAGGTGTCCTCACACATTGCTCCTGAGGTACAATCAGCAGGGTGTGTCGGAGCCTTGGATTCAGGAATCCTACCTCCAAGAGCTTGTCCCTCAGGGACAAGGGACAAGATAACGTTTGCACTGTCTAAACTCTGGAAGCCATGCCTACCTCTGTCTGCCACCTCCAGCCGAGGGAGACGGACAAGGTAAATGCCAGAACAACAAAACCTTAGACAACCACTAGGGATGTTGCATTAAAAAATTGCCCTGGTTTGTTCAAATAAAGTATGTTTATTTATGGGCATAGAAAAAGAAGGTTGGAAGGGCAGCCCTCAAAATTGTAACGGTGTTATCACTGGGTTAAAGGATTGTGGATGATTTTTACATCCTTCCTTTGGGTCGTAGTATTTAAAATTTTTGTCAGCAATGAGAAGATATCCTTTGTGAATAAGAAAAAAAAGCACAATACAAATGCATTATTTAAGACAGCAACAAACTGAAGGTCAGACTTAGGGTGGACTGGCTGAAGGCTATCTGGTATCTTCAACAGCCTGAAACCACAGTCCAAAAGGAAAGATTAGGAGGCTGCTTCCCTGTCGTTCTCTCTCAACATGCACAGAATCTCACACTTCAGGGTTTAAAAAGCAGGACCATGATTCTCCCTGACACTCTTCTAGTTATAATAGAGTAGGTGTAAGAATATGCAGTCTTCTAATGAGACTTGATGAAGGTATTTTCATTTTGAAAGGAAAACAAACATGGCCCACAAAGTGTAGAACTGTCCTGAATTAGTGCTTGTGCACCGACCATTCTGGTCTTTTCTGAGGCAGACTGGACACCCCCCAACTCTTACAGCTGTCGGGAACTGGGAGCTGCCCCTCAAATCAGGCCACTGTCCACCAGCCTGTCTCCACTTCATCTCGGCCGGAACACTGGGGGGGGGGTCCTGTTGTGTTCGTGTTTGTGCCTTGACAACAGGGCTCTGTGTGATGTTCCACAGAAACTGCTCAAGCACAGGGAGGCCCTCGCCCGTTCCCCCCAGATGTCAGAGTGGAGGCCGTCCCAGAAGGGAGGGGTCACAGCCTGGACACTGGCACAACCACAGGAGTGGCGGGGACGTCCTCACTGTGCCCTCAGCCCCAAAGCAGACCTGGGAGCACCACAAGTGTTATTCATAGTGGTGCAGAAACAGGAGTGGCGCCGACTTAAATGTTTTTTTCCTGATCACAACAGTGCACACAGGTCCTGCAGAAAATATGGACTGTCATCACCAGCATCATCATCAGGAATGAATTTTGAGACCTTCAGCTCCACCCCTAGACACATGTGCCTCTCTTTTTATTTTTGCTGTCCACATCCTTCTCACCTGTACAACCGGAGGAGGGAAGTACAGAGAGGCTGGTGGCCATGAAAACCAGGGAAGGGCTGAAGTCAGACCCCCTCCTCCACCGCGCAGCAGCCCAAATCTCCCCTGGACCTGAGACTCAATTCCTTCAAGCAGGAATGGCTGCCGAGGATGGCGATTTAGGGTTGAAATGTCAGATGAAATAGAGGCCGCTCAGAAGTCAAATTTGAGTTTCAGAGAAGCAGTATCTGGGACACACTTACACTGAAAAATCATTTGCTGTTGTCGGAAATTCAAATACTGCCTGGGACATATTTACACTGCATAATCATTTGTCATTCTTCTGAATTCATGTTTAACTGGCTGACCAATATTTGTTTTCACTCTATCCTGCAACCCTGATTGGGAAAAGGGCTGCAGAGGTGGGTGAAGTCTAGTGGTACTCGGAGTGGCCACTGGCCTTTTCTTTTGAGACCCGACAGCCCCTCCAGGAGGGATCTCAGGAACCGCCAGAGGAGAAGAGGGGGAGGAAGAGGAGACAATGTGTTTGGATGGGGAATAAGTTATACCTACAGGTCAAATGATGGGGCAAAGCCTGAAAATTGGGTCCTAGAGGAAGGGCTGGAGGAACTGAGATTTTTTAGCTTGGAACAGAAAAGGCAGGTCAGGGAGGGGTGTCCACGCCTGTCTGCCTCAATCACTGATCAGTTTCATCTGATGGGGGCAGCCCTCCAAGGCTCCGGGGGCAGAGTCGGGGCCAAGGTGGGGCAGGCACAGGAAGTCAGAGTTCTGGCCAGCAGTGGGGCAGGCGGCCAGCGAGGCAGGGCCTGCCTCAGCAGGCTTCACCAAGAGGGCGACTGGCATTCTCCAATGTCTAAGCAAGGATCAAGGCAGGCTACACGGAGGGCAAAATCCCATGAGGTACTCACCTGGGTTGTCCCCAGTGAAGGCCACCACTTTGCATCCTGGAGAAAACCCATAGCGCCCAACATAGTAGGAAGAAATGGACCCCTGAGGAGAGAAAGCGGGTACGCTCTGCTGAGGCAAACCCCGCCTGCTCAGCACAGCCGTCCAGCCCACACCTCAGGCCACAGCAAGGTTACAGGCCTGGATGAAGCCTCGAGTCACATCACACGTGTTGCAACCCAGGGACATCCCTCCTGTTCACAAACCGCCAGGAGCCCAGCACAGGGCTGGAACCATGAACGTGAGGTCATCCCACTGCCTCCAGATTCAAAGCAACTAGAACAAACCAGCCTCTAATATGGACTAGCACTGTATGCTCCAAATTTCTGGATCTAGCTTTCTTTGGTTTTTTTCTTTCTAAATAAATGGAGGAAACCATTAAACAAACTCATGGAAGTAGATAACGCCTTACACACACGCCCAGCAACCAGATTAAAAGTAATCAGACACGCACGTGCAGAGGTCAATGCTCTAAAGAAAATAAACCAAGAAAAGGCACTGTGAGGGGGAGACTGCCAGGAACTACAGCTCTCAGGGTCCCTCCAAGAGGGGCTGTGGGATCAGAGGGCAGGGACACCTTCCGTACAGACCTACAGTTTTTAGAAAGCATGGTTATGAAAAGAAAGCTTTTCTTCCCCTTTCCCTTTCTCTCAGTTCCAAAGTTTAAAACAAATAATGGAATTTCTTGTTGTCTAGGAAGAAAACCTTGCTCCGTCCAGCAGAATTTTGGATTCACATCAGAATAAGCCATCTACTGCCTGCTTCAAGCTTCAGTGGTGGTCTCTAGCCCCAGGATTTCAACATTCTGTGTATTTTTCCCTAAGGTGTGCAATCACCCAGAACTTATACCTTCGATTGTTTTTTCCTATTCTAATAAATCTTTAGTGCAATTTTCCTAAGTCCACCTCCCCACCCCATCACCACGAGGCAGGAATCTATACACACAGCTGAGTACCTGAGTGCACGGCCCTTATCCAGACATTTCACTTACGCCAAACACTTGTCTTATACTAGACTAAAAGTCCCCTGTGTGTATGCCCGTGTGTTAATGAATGGGAGTGTGTGTGTGTGCGCACGTGCACCACACGCTTCCCCAGTAGCTGCCAGCTGCTCTCAAATGAGCCACATCACTGGACAGAGGACCCACCACGACCGAGCAGGATGGCACCGCCGGGCCGAGCTTCTCCTCCAAATGAGGTGCGCAGGCTGCAAGACAGGCCCGCGACCAGACTTTGTCATGGATCCGCAACAAATTCATTCCAGAACCTAAGAGGGAAGGCACAAGAAACAGAAATCTTGAAAAGGGTTCTTTCATAAAAATGCGCAAGTCTGGCAGAGGGCAGATCATTCTCTCCCAGCAAATTCATACCTGGAGTTCCTTCCCGATGGAAATGTACACAGTGTCCCTGGGTCCCTCTGGAACCAGAGAACCAGAGGACCAGCAGGGCCCTTGAGAAAACATGGCCTTACCTCCTCCAGATGTTCCTTAGAGGCTCAAATCCCACAGTTACCCTCGAAACCTGCTGCTCTGAGACCCGGCCGGGGGAAGGGAGCTCCCAGCAACGTCGATGAGGACTCTGCATGTCCCCTGGGGTTCAAGGTGTCTGCTCAGAGGCAGCCCTGGTGCTACATGGGTCAGCCCTCAGGGATTTCCCAATATCGCGTCTTACTTTTCCTGGAAAGCTCTCAGATGCCTCTAAACGTCCAAACGCTCATCGCTAAGATCAGCTAAGTTTTCCCTAAAAAGATCTACTTCTCCCCAGGCTTTGAAGGGGGAGAATCCAGAGCCCAGGTGGAGGCAGACTGGGGGCCGCACACTGCTGGGGTCATTCGTCCACGTGAGACAGCCAGACAGCTGGACAATTAGGAGGAACTTGGGAGGGGACAGGGAGGGGACAGGGTGGAGGCCCACTTGCGGGTGAGCTCAGGAATGTCTGGAGCAGTGGCGTGACTTTCCCCAGCAGCAAGTGCTTCACAGCCCAGGGGAGTGCGGAGAACACAGCGGGACACAGGCTTAGGGTTCTGACGGTCTGAGCTCCCAGGAGCTGGGTTCTGTGCTGGAGGGCTGGGAGCGAAGCTTGGGGACCATTCCTTAGTCACCTTACTTTCTCTCCCTGAAAACTAGGACAATGTCTGGCACACGACCGCACCCAAACATTTCAAGGCTCTCCCAAAGGTGCCCTCCCAGGCCAGGGCTTTTGCTCCACACTCTCCTCCCTCCTTGGTCATCCTTTCAGTCTGGCCTCAGCCAAGAGCTCCTTCTGCAACCTCCTACCGGCTCTCCTTCTGCACTGGCATTATCTGCATTTCTTCTTGTCAGGGTTTTGACTCCAGAAGCTCACCACTCTTATGCAGTCCCCAAAAGTGAACAAAAGCATCAATAAATGACTCCCTGTGAGAGCTGGGCTCCAAGATGGCCCCGGCTCGTCCCCGAGTCCTGGTGGTCGCACCTTGTGTGGTCCCCTCTCCCTGTACCCTTCGGTCTCTGTGACCAGGAACAGGGCAGAAGTAAGGTATGCCCCTCCCAAGATTAGGGTGTAGAAGACTTTGCAGCTTCTGCTCATCCCTTGCTTGGGGGAGTCCCGCTGTCATATGGGGGGCCCCACGTGGATCCTCCAGCCCCAGTCAAGGATTTAGATGACCATGCAGTGCTGGTTGCCAGCCTGACTGCCACCTCATGAGAGCCTGAACCAGACCATCTAGCTAAGCCGCTTCCAGATTCCTGACCTTCAGAAACTGTGAGATTATAAACATTTATGGTCCTCGGCTGCTAAGCGCTGGGGTCACTTGTTACACCGCAAAAGATAACTGATACACTCCCTTCTGGGCAACAGATGATAGAGCTGGAAGACCAGCGCCCACTGGGGTGGCTGAAGCTCATGCTGCCTGCACGCCCGCTGAATAAGCCAGCACCCTGCATTCTGACGACTCACCATCGCTGTGATCAATAGGGGAGTAAGACCCAAGGAACAGGGAAGCAGCAAAACTACTGACCAAGGAAATTCTCTGTAAAAGAGAGAAACACAGGGAGATGTATGATTCACTTCCATAAGCAACTGAAGACTTCTGATACCCACACAAGATGACAAGAGTTTTAAATCAGTGAGGGAAGTGGGAACTTTGAGCAAGATATCCCAGTGATGGTAGAAAGAGAGGAGCCCAGATAAGAGCATCCTGAGTGGCTGGAATACCAAGAACTGACTCCTTGGGAGAGTACCTCGCTCTGCAGTTTCTGATGGGCCATAAAACCTTATGGAAAGGCAATGCTTAAGAAAGCTGGTTTTCCTCCCAGAATCCACATGCCGGGGAGTGTGGTGCCCTGACTTCCTTCCTCCATTTCCGTGGTCTTTATATCTAGTCACAAGGGAAGTGGGATGCATGGTCACAGGCCTCAGAACCAACAGAGACAGTCTTGAGGGCTCGGAATAAGTAGAGTGAAAGCTGGTCCCTTGGAAGCCACAGACCCCAAATGTGAGCAGGAGGAACTGACAAGGGGTTTCCAACGTCAGTCTGAGGGTCTGTGCTTCCACAGGGGAATCACGGGCCCTTGGACCAGTGGAGGGAATGCCATCCCTCCTGTCCCCAGCTGGGCCACCTTTGTTCCACACACAGAACTTGGAGAATTTTTATCACTCCTTCCACCCAAAACCAACATTAACGGCTCAAGTCGCAGAGCAATCTGGAAACTTGAATCATTAAATAATAAACTGCAGGTTAACTTTAAAAAAGCACTCTGGTTTAAGACAAGCTGATCATTGTCTAGTTACTCAGAGATGACAGTCACGAGCCGGGATGTTGAGCTGCTTCTCAGGGGACACCGTGTGCTGGCTTTCAGCAACTGTGGATCAAGGAATGAACCTGGGTTCCTGCCATGCAGACTGTGGTTGAAGGGTCACAGCTGGAGACACATTGGTCCAGCTTTACAAATTTCCTAAGGAAACCCTGACCCCACACCAGCCAAGGGCCCGGTAGCCATCATGCATCAACCACAGGAAACTGAGTGGACAGAGCCTACCAGGCACCCAGACCTCCTACTCAGTTGGTCCCCTTGCTCCCATCACGACCTGACCTCCACCCTTCTGGTCAGGAGAGCCCCTGACTTCCCTTTCCCACAGCTCCATTCTTTCCCTCCTCTTTGGAAAAAGCCTGACAATAAGAAAAAAGCAAACCCAATGTATCGTTTTGAATGCTAATCAATATTTTCAGCCAATGCACAGGAGATGTATTTATGCTGAAGGCTAAGTATTACAAAAGGAATCCAACTGTGACTTTGAATCAAAGAGGAACATTTAACCCACCTCCGTGTGTGAGTAGGCCTCGGGGTTCTGCTGGTAAATCTTTGCGATTTGGTTTCCTGTAAATCGCTGGAAAAAGAGTGCAAATTCTCAAAAACACAAATCCTGGATGAATGATCAACTCTACAAAGTGAGGTTGGTGTAGCATGCTCTGAATATTAGTCAGTATAATGAAAGCTTAAAAAGGCCTCAAGTCTGGAAATGCTCGGTATCTGCTGAACACCCTTAGTAATAAAAGCCTCACTCCTCACACAGCACGGTGTCTGCTCTGACCAAGGGCACCCGGGTAGGGGACTTGTGTATTTCCCCACCCACATTCTTCCTACTTTGGGTGGCCCAGGTAGAGGCTTGGACCTCCACTCCAGGGAGGGCCACGTGACCCCAACTGGGCCAACAGCAGCCACCCTGTGGGATGGGGTGGGACTGTGGCTGAAGCCAGGAAAGAGGCATTCTTATTTTTTCACTTTTCCAGGAGCTGCACTGAGCATCTTAGGTGCCCTGATTCCTTTCAGCTTCAAAACTGCCCAAAATGTAAGTGTTATTTTTACCTCCAGGTTAGAGAGGATGAAACCGAGGTGCCGTCATCACCCCCACACACATCCCAGCTGAGTTCACCCCTCAGCTCTGACCTGGGAACAGTGAGAGAGGGCCTGCCCTTGCTTGATGGGCAACAGTTGGCCTTGCTCAGAACCAGGGACCAGAGTGCCCAGTCCTGGCTCCATGGGGCCACACTCACATGGCCTCGCGGGATCCCCCCAGGGGCTGTGTCCTCCCAGACACCCAGGGAGAAGGGCTCAGAGTCAGCAACCAGACCTTCCTCCTGGACCAGCCCCAGTTCCCAGCCCCTGGTGGGCGCTGCCCACCTCATAGGCACGAGACCCGGTGAGGCTGCTGAGAGCCTGGGCCCCGCCCACGGCGGCCTCCAGCTGGCGGCACTGGGCTGTTGTGCTGGAGTCCATCCACACCGGGCAGTCAGTGATGGAGAAATAGGCCTGGAAGGAAGGGGCAAAAGCACAGGCGTGAGCTCCACCTGCTGATGCTGGGGGCCACCTGGCACTGGCGGTCACACTGTCCATCACAGCCGGCTTGACGCCTCTCCCCTGAATGTGACCTTGGAAGACCCCTGGGCAAGCCCTTCGTGCCCAAACCTCAGGCTGCCCCAGCAGGGTCTCTCCCCAGAAAGCTCAAGGTTGAATGTTCTGGCGCCTGAGCTGCTCCCTTGGCCGGGTGTCCCGGGAACACCCCAAACATCTATATATAGACAGACATCTATATACTTACCAAAAATTTTAAAACTGAATTCAACAAGCACTTTTAACAAAACTCTGGTACCAAACTCCGTACGTTATCTTAACAGTATCGCAAGCCCAAAGCATGGCTTGGTAACGTAGGTTAAATTTAAAGCAAGGCACTGAAAACAAGTGACACTAGAAATGGGCAGGTAAGAGTGTTTGTGAGGCATGTGGAGCCTGGGAGAAGAGGAGAGGCCAGAGCCTGCCTTCCCAGCATCACCAGGAGGCATCATGCCCCAGGGGGAGAGTCCTGAGCAGGGAACTCTCCAGGGTCGTGCTGGGCTGGAGGGAACCCATGTGATGAGGGCTGTTAGCACCTGAGCCTCTGTCCAGACAACAGGGATGCCCACGGCAGGCAGCCAGGGCCGACCAGGCTCCAGGACTACTGCCCAAGCCACCTTCCCACAGCCTTGAGGATGCACAAAAGCCCCAGACTTCAGGGCCCACAGGCCTCTCCCCCATCTACATATAAGTTTCTCAGACTCCCACGACACGGCCAAAGTTACCTGTAGCTGCTCATGTAACGGGAGGTCTGGTGACAGGCTTGTCAGCACCCGGCTGGCCCCGGCCTTCCAGTACACACTTCCATGTTGCTGCCGAAGGAAAACCCAATCCCATGTTCATGCGGCCACACACCTGTGTCAGCCTCCTCGAGACCCAGGAAGACCCCAAACCACACACCCAAGAACTGGGCTCCAAGCCTGCCCCCACCAGTCCTAAGTCACAGAGCTCATCGCCTTTATGAGACTCGGTTTTCATCTCTATAATATGGGAAAGTCTGCCTGCTCACCTCAAACCTTGCAGGAAGGATCCAGGAAAGAATAATTGGTCTGAATTTTGGTGCTTTTGTAAAATTGTATTTTTGTAAAATTGTAAAAAATATACTGCTCACACTATTACCTGAAATTCACTCATTCATTCACTTACCCAATCACTCATTCAACAAACGTTGATTGATTACGCCTAGCATGGGACACACGAATATTATCCTTATTTTGCAGGATACTCAAGTTGAGTTAGGGAAAAGGACACAAATGGACAATTATAAAGCCCTGTTAAGTGCAGCGACAGGGCCATGGGAACACAGAGGAGGGGCGTCTAACCAGCTAGGGGTGCAGGTGGGTAGAAGTGGTCATGATCATCAGGAAAGGGCCCCTGAGTTGAGTGTGGGTTCGCAGAGAGTAACCATGGGGAGAGAGGCTGGCAGCTGCAGGGAAGGGTGGCACTCTCAACCCCGGGCCTGAGGCTGGGGCAGGAGGTGGGGGGATGGGAGGGGAACGGGGCAGCCTCAGCCTTGACATCTGTGCTCAGGAAGCTGGGGTTTATCTTGGGGTGGTGAGAACTCTGGGTTGGCAGGGGAGGACATGGCCAGGGCTAAGGGCAGGAAAGGGCTTGTGGGAGTCAGGGAGAGGGTAGGAGGGAGGCAGGGAGGCCAAAGCAGAGGCCCAGAGGAAAATGATGGGTACTAGGCCTGGGGCAACAGAGGCGGAGCTGGAAAAGAAGTGGTAGACTCAAGAGTCATGCACAAATCAACAGGACGAGGGGACCACTTGGATATGGGGCTGGGAAGACGGAGGAGTCTGGGTTGTGGCGCTGGGTGGACAGGTGAATTCTCTGAGAAAGGGAACCAGAGGAGGAGGACGTCTGGGGAAAGATGGAGCGTTCAGTCTGGAACATGGTAAGCGTGGGGTGTTCCCAGGACACCCGGCCAGGGGGGCAGAGGGACGCCTCAGAGGGAGAGGGTGTCCAGGCCTGGCGTTCAGGGGAGAGATCTGGACAAGACCACCAGGGACTCTGTCCTGCTAGGTCAGGGGGCAGAAGAGGCATCTTCAGAAAAGTCAGTAAGCAGTCTCTCACAAGGATGTGAAGACATGCTAATCCAGCGTGGAGCAAAGTGATTCAGAGCACAAGGATCCTGACCACCACCCCCAATAGCTGTGTGACCTCTGGAAAGTGACGTCACCTCTTGGTGCCTCAATTTCTCTATGTAAATGGCAATGATAATAAAAGCAGTAGCTAAAGCTTAAATCAAGCTTTTAGGGACTGTCTTCTGTATTTAACACTCCCAATGACCCTATGGCAGATGAGGACAGAGGCACCAGAAAGCTGGACGATGTGCCCTAGGTCACTGTTTGTAAATGGCAGAGCCAGGGGTCAAACTCAGAGCCCCTGCGCGAACACTGCACGATTCCACCAGGTAACATCATTATGAGGATGAAGTTAGTGTATGCAAAGTGCTCAGTACCGCCCCCAGCATACACAAAGTGTTCCCTGTTCTTTGTAATTATGACTCATATCTCTACTATTAAAACTGCTATCGTTATTAGTATGATTTCTGACGTTGCTTTTACTTCTAAGAATCAGAAAAAGCAATTTTGTGTCCCCAAACGGTCATAATAAATTCATGTCAAATGCTTCCTCCATCCCTTTAGAGGACCTCCATCCACTTCTTCCTCACCCAGGGCCCTAATTTGCATAACGCTTAGTCGTAAGAAGTGTCTCAGATCCTTTTGCAAGGAGGCAAACTATACGCCCTCTAAGGAGAAACAGCTATAGAGATTTTCACCACAACAAAATGTGCACAGTGGCTCTCAAGAACGAGCACCTTCCCTCGAGGGGAGCTGCCACACCGGCACTCACACAACTGCCCGAGACAGCAAACAAACCTGGCCCGCCCCAGACAAGGCAAGGACTTGAGAGAAGTCGAAGCCCGAAGCCTTCATCTTCTCCAAGATGATATCCAAAGCCTGAGAAGAAAAACAGAGCCCACCGTAACTGTCCCGAATCGCGGAAGCAGGCTAACACACCAGCGCTGATATTGGACTATAAGTGCTTGCCCTGACAGTGGAGATAAAGAAGGAATGGATGACTTGCGATTTGGAAGCACCAGAAACATCAGTTAAATGAGTAGGCATCAATCAGATAAAAGTGAGCTCTGCTCAAGATATTTTAAATATTTAAAACATATGAATGGAATCAGAAATCACCAGTCTTCTGCTTCTCCAGTTGGTGACTTCCAAGCACTCATGAAGTGCAAAAACAAGGTGGCTCAAATTTTGATTTCTTTCATTTGCATTTTCAACCCACCATATTAGTGATGTGACTTCACCGCAACGGAGAAGCAAGGAGCTCAGTAGTGGCTCCCAGCAGAACAGGCCTCCAGGCCCAGACCCCTGCGTCCAGGAGTGTGAGGTTGGAGGGAGCAGGGAGAGATGGTGGCCATCTGTCTCAAACTCCTTATTCCACCCTCCACCATCCAGTTGGAACTACCTTTCTGGCAAGACCCCAGGGATGGGATGGATGGTGCCACCCAGCAGAGCTTGACACTTCCCCAGGAATTAGACATTCACCCCAGTCTGTGTTTTCTTTAGGGTAGAGAAGCCACTGGAGCTTTGGCCTGACCCTGCCACCTCCATCCTTTGCTGGGAGGGTGCCCTGGCTGTGGCTGCCAGCTTGGCCCTGCTGCCAAGTCTCCAGCAAGGAGTGGGAAAGCTGGAGTCCAGAATGGCCAAGCTAGAACAGGTCCAGTCCTGAGGGGCTGCTCAGGATCAGAAATCACCCTGGTCTGAGCCCCTAGCCTGCCTCTCCACCCCCTGCCCAGCCTGTCTGGTGAAAATTCATCCTTTACCCTAATCCTCCGGTATGAGTCAGAGTCAGGCTGATAAAAAAGATACCAACCTTGTTCTCTTAACAGAAAGAATTTAGCACGGCGAATTAGTTGGGTAAGTCCTGGAGGACTGAAAAGGCTTTGGGCAGACACATTAAGTGCTGCCTTTGCTGGCCTCGAGTTTCAGGGTCTCAGGTCCCCTGCGGCAAATGAGGGGCCCTCGTCTGTCTGTGCTGTCCACACCCTGGTCCTGGGGGCCCCCTGGATCACCCAGATCTGGCAACAGGCATCTTCCTTTCTCATTGGTTCTGAGCAGCAGGCTTGGCTTGGGATCGATCTGGGCCTGACGGGGCAGGTCACAAGCCACCATCCTGAAGGCCCTGCCCTTGAAATTGAAGGGTCTGGGACTGAGCACTAAGAGCCCAAAGGCCATGTTCGGATCTCAGGGTACAAGAGTGGCCACAAGGCCTGAATGCAGAGTTTTGGGGAAAGGTTTGCTCTACAGCATTTTAAAGGTGGTTCCTGGCAGGACCTTCCAGCTGCTCTGGCTTCAGACCCCGGAAGCCCTTTGTGAGTCCTCTCAGCTCAGGAGCACTGACACCAGCTGAGGCTGTCTGGCCCTAGGACCATGCAGACTTCATTTCCTCATGAGGACCTGGTCTTAACGGACGCTCTCATGAGCTGCCTGCCACCTTTGGGCTTCCTAGCAAGTCGCCAAGTCTGCTGGTGAGATGGGCGGGGAGGGGAGAGGGCTCACCTGGACCCACATCAGGACTGGAGAAGTCACTGTCAGCCCATCCTCGTGAACGTGAACTCCACCTTGAGTCCTGCAAAGCGGAACAAGAGAGAATGTGGGGCAGAGCATCGGGCAGGGGCCCAGCATTGGCGGGTCCTAGACACCGCCCACAGGATGAGCACCCGCTCCTCCAGGCTTGAGCTCGACACAGAACAGGCAAGATGCTGGGCAAGAAGGAAAGAGAAGGCACGGAAACGGCTCAGAAAGCACCAGCAAAAGCAAGCCTTCTATGGGAGGTAATGGCTCAGTGGTAGAGCATGTGCTTAGCACGCACAAGGTCCAGGGTTCAACCCCCGGTACCTCCACTAAAATAAATAAATTAATAAACCTCGTTACCCCCCACCAAAATAAAAACTAATCAATTAAAATGAAAAAAAAGCCTTCTCAGTATAAGGGGTTCGCCCTGCAAGGCAGGCACAGTGTCACTTAGTGCAGTGGCCATAAAGGGATAGAAAGTTTCAGGCTGGATGAGAAGCCCTCCCCAGTGCACTGAGTTTGGAGAGGTAGAGGGCGTGGGGCACACGGAGGGCTGCATCTGTGGGAAAAGCTCTTGGTTATCAGACCAGGGAATCCCTGGATTGCCCGGAACCCTGGCTCTCTTCACCCCCACAAGACGCTCGTGCAAAGAGCTGCTTTGATAAAATCGAATCCTTTCAACTATGAATTTAAAAAGAACAGGCTCAGACTCCATATCAAGGCATTATCAGAGGTGGGTATAGCTCAGTGGTAAAGCACATGCGTAGCATGCACAAGGTCCTGGGTTCCATCCCCAGTACCTCCATTTAATAGATAAATAAGTAGAAATTACTTTTTAAAAAAAGACACTATTAAACAAGATTATACTGTATATAGCACAGGGAAATATGTACAAGATCTTATGGTAGCTCACAGAGGAAAAAATGTGACAAAAAATATATATATGTACATGTATCATTGAAAAATTGGGCTCTACACTGGAATTTGACACATTGTAAAATTATTATAAATCAATAAAAAGTGTTATTAAAAAAAAGACACTGTTAGATAACCACATGATCCAGCCGTCCTATTCCTAAATACCTAGCCAAGAGAAATGAAGTTGTAAGTCCATGGAAAGATGTGTACACAAATGATCATGGCAGCCTTTTTTGTAATAACAAAAAGCTGCAGACAACTTAGGTGTCCCTAAGTCAGTGAACAGTTAACTTGAAGCACACAGGTGTCACAGAGTACCACAGAGCAGTAAAAGAAAAAAAACCTAACTATTGATGCGCACACCAACATGAGTCGGGACTCTCAGATGATGGTGCTGAGAGAAGGAAGCCAGGCACAAAAGAGTTCATATTACACGATCCATTTGTATAACATGCTAGAAAATGTAAATCCACTTCTCTGATCTGCAGAAGCAGATCAGCGGTGTCCCCAGTCCAGCGGGGAGGAAGGAACAGACTGTAAAGAGAAACAAGAATTTTCTGTAGGGGATGGTGTAAACAGTCCGTCTCTCAACCGCGGTGGTAGCTTCACAGGTATAGGTCTGCCTCTGGCAAAATGCAGTCAACTCAATTGTGTGTTTCTAACAGACGCCTCTTTGTGTGCTTAAATTATACTCAATCATGCTGATTAAAAAAAAATACCATCACGAAAAAGGTAAAAAAGAGCAGCAAGCTGTCCTATAGACGGTAAAACTCACTGGAAAAAAATGCAAAACAGTTGAAAATTGTAACCAAACATCCCACCAGCTGTTTAACAACTGAAAACTGACAATTGCTGCTAAGAAAGAAGATTAGAGCTACCCCATAGCCCTGAAAGCGCCAGGTCCAAACGGTTTCACAGAAAAAGTCTACCGAACCTTTAGAGAACAAATGTTTCAAATACTATTTAAATTGTTCCAGAGTGCCTCAGGGAAGCAAAATTTTATGATTCTTTTTATGAAGTAAATATTAAATGAACACCAAAACCTAATAAATACTGTACCAAAAGTACAAGCAACAGAAGGAAAAAAAAAGATTAATTAGACCTTATCAAAATTAAAAACTTTTACCTTAAAGGACATCCAAGAAAGTGAAAAGACAACTCACAGAAAGGGAGGAAAATTTTGAATCACTTAGATGTGGAATCTAAAAAAAAGGACACAAATGAACTTACCTACAAGCCAGAAACAGACTCACAGATACAGAGAAAAAAACCTATGGTTACCAGTGGGTCAAGGGGCTGAGAAGGGATAAACTGAGAGTTCAAAATTTGCACCTCTTGGGAAGTGACAGAAAGATTAGCTATCTTGATCGTGGTAGTGGTTTCACTGGTGTAGACAGCTATCAAAATTCATCAAATTGTGTATTTGAAATGTGCAGTTTACTGTACAGGAACCACACCACAATAAAGGTGATTAAAAAAAGGAAAAATTTTGAAATATATCTGATGAGAGGCTTGTGTCTAGAATATATAAAGAACTTATACAGCTCAATAATAAAAAGAAAATACAGTTTAAAAATGGGCAAAAGACCTGAATAGATATTTTTCCAAAGAGGTTATACAACTGGCCAAACATAGTCAACTTCCTTAATCTGAGAAAGATACAAATCAAAACCACACTGAAAACAAACAAACAACAAAAAAAACCCACAGTGAGATGCAATGTCACACCCACTAAGATAGCTACAATCTATAATCAAAAGATAGTTAAAAAAAAAAATGTTGGCTAGGACATGGAGAAACCTGCACCCTCACATACCACTGGTGGGAGCGTAAAATGGAAGCGCTCTTTTGGAAAAAGAACTATCAAATGTTGAACCTGGAGTTACCATGTGACTCAGCAATTCCACTCCTGGGTATATACCAAATAGAAATGAAAACACATCCGTACAAAAATGTGTACACTGTATTAGTCTGCTGGGTAGCTTGAACAACAGGCATTTATTTCCTCACGTTTCTGGAGGCTGGAAGTCCATGGTCAAGGTGCTGGAAAATTCTGGTGAGAGCTCTCTTCCTGGCTGCCTCCCCACCATGACCTCGGTGTGCACACAGGGAGTGAGATCTGGTGTCTCTTCCTCTGCGCCTGAGGACACCAGTCCTGTTGGATGAAGGCCCCACCTCTATGATGACCTCCCAAAGGCCCCATCTCCAAGTACAGTCACACTGGGGGTCAGGGCTTCGACATGCGATTTGGGGTGGGGGGTGGGTGGACACAGTCCAGTCTGTAACAAACATGTCTGTTCATGGCAAGATTATTCATAATAGCCACGAAGCAGAACAATCCAAGTATACAACAACTGATGAAGGGAGAAACGAAATGCAGTATTATCCACACAATGGAGTATTACGGAGCTTATTTATAAAAAGGAATGAAGTACTGATACATACAACGTGGATGAATTTTGAAACACGACACTAAATAAAAGAAACTTATCAAAACACACCACATATTACACATATATGAAATGCCCAGAATAGGCAAATCTATAGAGCAGATTTTGGTTGCCAGGGCTGGGGGAGGGGGAATATGGAGTGACTGCTATTGGATACGTGGCTTCTTTTTGAGGTGATGAAAAGGTTCTAAAATCAGAGCAGTAATGGTTACACAGTTCTGTGAATATATTAAAAGCCACTGAATTGTACATTTTATTTTACTTTTAAGTCAACTCCCCAGATACACCTTTCTTTTTTTGGGAGGGGTGTGGGTGGGGAGGTAATTAGGTTGATTTATTTGTTTATTTATTTGTTTAATGGAGGTACTGGGGATTGAACCCAGGACCTCATGCATGCTAAACACGCATTCTACCACTGAGCTATACCCTCCCTCAAATTGTATATTTTAAAAGAGTGAATTTTATGGTATGTGAATTATATCCCAATAGAGCTTTTTATTGTTTGTTTAAAGATAAGATTTGGGGAAAAAACATCTGTATTAGTAAAGGAAAAAACAAAATTTCCAGGGCTCAACACAGCTGAAGTCTATTTCTTGCTCATTTAAAGGGACAGAAATTTAGCATATAATAAAGCTAGTGTCTCAAATCAGTGAGGCAAAGATGGAGTTCTAAAATAAAAAGCATTAAAACAACTGGAGAGTCACCTGGAAAAAAAATTGAAGTTGGATACGAACGTCATGCCCTGTACCTAAACTCCAAACTTTTTTATGTAAGAAAACTAAAATCTTATAAGAACTAGAACAAAACCTCTAGGTGAACTCTTTCACAACCTCAGAGTGAGGAGGCCTTTTAAACTATGAGGGAAAATCAAGAAGCAACAGAAGCAGAGATTGAGGAATTCAATGACATAAAAAACAAAAGCTCTAAACAAGTTTAGACTGTACAGCACAGGGAACTATATTGAATATCTCGTAGTTACCTATGGTGAAAAAGAATATGAAAACGAATATATGTATGTTCATGTATGATATGGCTGAAGCATTGTGCTGTTCACCAGGAATTGACATAACATTGTAAACTGACTATATTTCAATTTAAAAAATATATATATACGTCAAAAAAAAAACCCAAAACCCCCAAAGCTCAAGTCTGCCAACAACAGCAACAACCCACACACAAGTCAAAACCACACAAAAACCTGAGGAAGATATTTGCAATTCACTTAACAACAAAGAGAGATAATTCCTCTAATATATAAAGAGCTCCTAGAAATTGATTTTTTTTAAACAACCAATTGAACAGAAAACGGGAAAAGGCAAGAAAACCAGCTTCACAGAAAAAAAAAATTCAAGTAATCCTTCAACATATGAAAAAAATGCTCAACTTCATTCAAAATAAGAGGGCGGCAAAGGAAACCTACAAGGAGATACTGCTTTTTCACCTCTCTAGAAAAGAGTCAAAAACTCTTACGACCACAGTGAAGAGGCAGTGCTGTGGGAAAGAGGTACCCTTGTGTATCTCTGGTGAGGCACAATTAATACGATCCCTACTGGGGGGCCCCCCAGTGGCCACAACTTCCAAAATATAAACGTATACAGCTCAAAATATATATCAACAATAGGATTGTTGAAATATTAACTTACAGATAAACTGGCACATATCTATAATGGCAAATGTAAGGTAATTCACATCATTTTTCACTGCAAACAACCCAATGTCCTTCAGTAGGAGATGGTACGTCTATCCAAAAGAGAACACGGAAGCCCCATCTACTGACATGGTGATTGTGAAATCAATAAACCACGGTACAGAATGGTATACACAGTGTGCTTCGGTTACATACCAGAAAGGGAGAAAGTAAGACTTTTCATATCTGCTTACACTTTGATACAAAACACTGGAAGGATGCACCAGAGAAATTATCTGTTGGGAAAGGCAGGTCACGGAGGGATTCAAACTTTTCCTTGTATGCCTTTTGTTTCTTTGAATTACCTACCAAGTACGCATAATGCCTAGTCATAAAATAAAATATTCTTATTAAAATAACCACTTTGGAAAAGAATTTGGTAATTTCTTAAAAAGTTAAACATGTACCTATCATATAACCCAGCCATTCCACTCCTGGGAAATGAAAGCTTCTATCAACACAAAGACTTGTATGTGAATTTCATAGCCTCTTCAGTGACAATAATAACAAACTGGAAAAAACCCAAAGGTCCCTCATCAGGTGAATGGATAATCCAGTTGTGACCCACTCCCACAGTGGAGTACTGCTCGGCAATAAAAACAACAGGTGATACACATAACGCGGATGAACCTCAAAATGATTATGGTGAGTTAAAAAAGCCAGATTAAAAAAAAAAGAGTGTATAATTATGATTCCCTTTACATAAAATTCTAGAAAGTGTAATTTATAGTGACAGAAAACATGTCAGTGGTTGCCAGCAGACAGGGGTGGGGAAGGGAAGAGGGATGGATTGCAAAGGGGGATGTGGAAACCCTGGGGGGTTGGGAATGTTCATTATCTTGATTTGGGTGATGGTTGAATACGTACGTCAAAACTTATCAAACTGTACAATTTATATACGTGTGGAGTTTAGTGTACATCACTAATAAATAAACAAGTAAAACTTCAATAAAATTGTAAAAAAAAAAAAAAAGCAATACATAGAAAGTGACCTGAGGTGAGGAAGGAGTGAACTAGCTCTGTTTGCATCTGGTTTAAAAAACTGTAAAACTAACTGAGTCAAAAAGGCAATCCTGTATTTTGGTCACGAATACTTTTTTTCTTTTTTTCAAAGATACGTAATAGAGAGAACTGACAAACCCACTGAATGAAAAAGAGTGGAGAAAGGGGAACTTAAAAATATAAAAGACTAGAAATCATATGAGGTATGTTTTCAAAACACAATGGAATTAAACTAGAAATCAACAACTGAAAAACAGCTGGAAATTGTGGAGATTAATCAAGAGGCTTCTAAATAACATGAGTCAAAGAAGTCTCAAGAGAAATTTTAAAATATTTTGAGCTAATTAAAAATGAAAACACAACCTATCAAAATTTGTGGGAGGCAGCAAAAGCAGTGCTTTGACAGAAATTTACAGCATTAAATGCATATTCTGGCAAAGAAGAGCTAAAAATCAATAATCTAAGTTTCCACTTCAGGAAACTAGAGAATGAGTATTTTAAGGAGAAAAGAAAAAGAAGAGAAATGATAAAAATGAGAGCCCGAGTCAATGAAGATGAAAATAAAAAAGCAAAAGAGAGAATCAATGAAACCCAAAGCTGATTCTTCGTAAAGATCAATAAAATTGATACGCTTCTAGCCAGGCTAATCAAGGAAAAGAGAGAGAGGACACAAATTACCAACATCAGCAGGATCATCACTACTGATCCCGCGGCCATCAAAGAACAATAAAGGAATATTGTGAACACCCTGATGGCCACAAATTTGATAGGTTAGATGAAATGGACCAATTCCTTGCAAGACACAAACTACCAAAACACTAACACAGGTGGCCTGAAGTAACATAAAACATGAAAGCAAAGAGGCTCCCAACCTCAGCTCGAAGGGGAGACGACAGCTGGGGGAGAAAGAAGAGGCAACCCAAGGTAATGGGGAGTGAGAGGCGCATGCAGGGTCACTGGGGAGGCTTCAGAGAGGATGTGACACCTAGGACAGACATGCAACAGACTTGCACCAGGACCTCTCAAAACCAACAAGTCCACAGCTGCTATGGGCTGCATTGCGCCCACTCCCCTGCCAAAATTCACATGTTGAAGCCCTAAGCTCCAGCACTTCAGAATGTGACTGTTTACGGAGACAGGGCCTTTAAAGAGGTAATTAAGTCCCAATGAAGTCATTAGAGTGGGCCCTAATCCAGGGTGACTGGTGTCCTTATAAAAGGAGGTTAGGACACACATAACAAGACTGAGAGACACCAGGGGTGTACTTGCACGGAGGGACGACCACGTGACAGACAGCAAGAAGCAGCTTTCTCCTGGAAACCAAGGAGAGAGGCCTTAGAGGAAACCAGTGCTCCCAGCACCTTGAACTTGGATCTCGGGGCCCCAAAACTATGGTAAAATAGATTTCTGTTATTTAAACCACCCAGTCTGTGGTACTTTGTACTGGCAAAGTAATACAAAAGCTAAATTCATCATCTTTCTCCTTGAAACCAATTCTCTTTCACCCCGAAGGCCAGCCAGTAATCTCACCTTCAGATCTCACATTCAGCTCTGCACCAAAACCTGTCAGTTTTACCATCCAGCTCTCTCTCCTCCAATCAACATCATTTCTCATCCATATGATCTTGAAAAACCTCAGTGGTTTCCCAACATGTACTCTGGCCATATCCCATCTGCTTTCCCACTGCACCCAGAGAGATCTTTTCAAAACACAAATACAATCATATCACACACCACCCCCTCCATCCCTATGGCCCATCAGTGGGTGACCACAGCTTTCAGGATAAAGACAAACTATACTATGGCCCAGCCCAGCATCTACCTCCCTCCCTGCTCCCCAGCCACACTGGCATTCTTCAATTCCATGAATGAGCAGTGCTCTTTCTTGCCACAGGGCCTTTGCACATGCTGTTTCCCTTGCCTGGAACGCTCTCTACAGTCTATCACTTGGCTAACCCCATTTATTCAGATCTTGGTTTAAGCATTTCTTCTTTAAGGATATTCCCTAACCCACTCTTTCAAGTCTTGGTCTAATTTCTTTACTTCAAATATGTACTTGAAGAAGTAAGTTCCTGTTCTTTAATGGCCTTCTCTGAGTTTACAACCAAACATTCTATTGTGAAATTCTCTGATTGATATCACTCTCTCCTACTCAATGGGAAGCTCTGAGAGAGCAAGGAACATGCCTCCTTTTGTTCACTATCAAATCCCAGCACCCAGCACAGTGCCTGGCACAGAGTAAGTCTCAACTGATACCTACTGCAGAGAGGAAGCAATGAGTGGAACTGGAAAGAAATGCAGGAGAGCACATTCCAGGCATAGAAGATGCTGAGAGATCTACCAAGACCACTCGTCCTGACGTTTGATGAAGCCAGAATAGTGTGGTTTATGAATGTAAAAAGCTCCATGGTAGAGCCATCCTTAGCATGCAAGAGGTCCTGGGTTCAGTCCCCAGTACCTCCATTAAAAAAAAAAAGTTGAGAGAGGACTCCAAAACCAACCTCCCGACACAGATGCACATTAAGTACCTACCCAAATTCTAGAAGGTCTCTGTCAAAATGTACACTGTCCTCATAGAAGACATTCAGCTCTGCATCAACAGCAACAACTTTGACCTGGAAGGCATTTAAAAAAAATTATGTATAGAATTTCTCCCCTCTTCTACACTGGTCCAGGGATATGAGCATCACCAAATGAAGCCCAGCCACCTAGAAGTGGTTGTCTACAGACATCCTTGAAGGCTGGGTGCATTACAGTAACCATGGCAACATAGGCCTCATCTGGAGACATATCCAAAGACATAGTAAAATGAAGAAGCTGAGGCCAAGTAGAAACACCCATGTAGCTCAGGGAATTTTTGCCCTCCAAACACCGAAAGCCAAGACCCTCTAGAGGTAGATGTTCACAGATAAGCTTGTTCCTGCGCCAGGCAAGGAGGGTCCCCTGTTGGGGGAGTGAATGGGAGGCAGGGTTTGGAGATATTTCTCGGGGTCCGTGCCTGCAGGGATCTGAAAGACCAGGCAAGATCCCTTGGTTGTACTCGTAGGCCATGATCATGGACCACAGACACATGTCCTAGTGGAGCAGATCTCCAAACTCAAGGGTACAACTTTTTTCCTCGACAGATGGGGAAATTGAGGTCTAGCAAGGCAATCTGACTTATCCAAGGTCCCACATGACTCTCTGGTCAGGGGTTAACTGGCCACAGCCTTGCTGGTCCTCTAACCCGTTTGAGGATTGGGGTTTGATTGCAACTACGTTGGTTTCTCAAGTTAAGGAGAAAGAGCCGCTTAGCACTCCAGGCCCAGTTTGAGGGCAGCTTTTGCCGGTCTTTGGGGCCCTCAGAGCAGCAAAGGCAGTCCTCTGGCCAGCAATGACGGGCACGTGGACCCGGGCACGAGGCTGCCAACCACGGGCTGTCACGGGGTGGAACAAAGTTCATATGTACACTGTGCCCATTTCACTCAAAAAAAAAAAAAAGGTTCAAGCGGTGACCTGCTTCCAGGTCACTGGTTATGCCTGTGTGTCTGCCTGTCTGGTCCTGTCTTACAGCAGCCGAGTTCGTTGCTCCCGGTCACTCTGCCCAGACGCGCGCGAGCCCTTCGGGTCCCGGCACGTCCCGCACGTCGCCCGCGGGTCCCTCGTGGAGGGGGACGGGGCG